GACACTCCTTCGGAAGATCCCACTGTCGTCGCGAGCGGCATTCCAACCATCGCTCATTCTTTCACGCCTAGTGAAATGACCAGATCCCCTACAAAGACACCAACGAAAGTGCCATCGGAAGAGCCCACTGTCGTCGCGAGCGGCATTCCAACCATTGCTGATTCTTTCACGCCTACAGCAATGACCAGTTTCCCTACAATGCCACCAACGAACATGCCATCGGAGGCACCAACTGTCGTCGCGAGCGGCATTCCAACCATTGCTCATTCTTTCACGCCTACAGCAACGACCAGTTTCCCTACAACGACACCAACGAAAGTGCCATCGGAAGAGCCCACTGTCGTCGCGAGCGGCATTCCAACCATTGCTCATTCCTTGACGCCTACAGCAACGACCAGTCCCCCTACAACGACACCAACAAAAGTGCCATCGAAAGAGCCCACTGTCGTCGCGAGCGGCATTCCAACCATTGCTCATTCCTTGACGCCTACAGCAACGACCAGTTTCCCTACAATGCCACCAACGACCATGCCATCGGAAGAGCCCACTGTCGTCGTGAGCGGCATTCCAACCATTGCTCATTCCTTGACGCCTACAGTAATGACCAGTTTCCCTACAATGCCACCAACAAAGGTGCCATCGGAGGCACCAACCGTCGCCACCGCGACTCAAGAAGATGGCTCCTTGAAAGAATCCGCAATTCCTACAAGTGGACCGACCGAAGCGCCATCGAATGTACCAAACATATTCCAGTCTCCATCTGACGAACCAACCAATGTCCCATCCGAAGTTCCAACTATTCCAACTGAAAAGCCATCCCTTCGACCGAGCAAATCATCAGCGATGCCAAGTAGCCGACCAACTATGCCAAAAGGGCAGGACAAGACAGATGCACCAACCACCTTCAAACGAAACAATCCAGCTTTCCCACTGGGCTCTGCTTCTCCAACGATTGCAAGGGGTACCACTGTTCCGTCTACGGCACCAACTCTTCCAAGCAGTGATCCTGCAATGCCTACCAGTTCCGAGATGCCTTCCGGTGATGTGCCGATTGACCGCGACGGCGACAACCCGTCTTGTGTTCCATCGCCAAATACCTTACCCAATCTATTTCTTCGGAACAAAATGAAACAAAAGATGGAAGAGAACGGGTTCAGCAGAGGCAAATCGGGAACTTCAAGTGGCAAAACGAGAGGTACTGTCCCACCTACTGGAGGTCGAAGTGATAGCAGCGACACTTCTTCGGTAAAAGGACGAGGAAAAGGAAAGGCTTCGTATTGCCTGGAAGGAAAGGGCAAGGCCAAAGGAAAGGCGAGTGGAGGTGATGGCGAAGCACAAGGTAAGGCCGATGGAAAGGCGAGTGGAAAAGCCAAGGGGAAATCGAATGGAATCCCTTTCCCAGGTAAGGCCGAGGTGAATCCAGGTAAAGCACTTGGTAACGGTGGTGGCAAATCAGGAAAAGAAGGTGCAGGAGAGGCAACAGATGGTGGCAATGAGAGTCTAGGCAAAGCTGGAGTTGGAAAGGCAAGTGATGGTGTCTTTAGTGGTAAAGCAGGAAAAGCAAGTGCCGGTAAAGCAACTCGAGATGGCGCTGGGGGTCTAGGCAAAGGTGGAGCCCGAAATGCAGGTCGTCCTAGCATTATTGCACAAGGGAAAGCCGGAATGACGGGTGAATTCAAGGAAGAACTAGAACTTTCCGAACAGATCAATCCTATGGGCAACAATACCAACGGTATGTAGAGCGCTCATATCAAGAACTTGGCAAATGAGTTTTTGAAAAGAAAATGGCTTTGGTACCCGATCAGAATAACTTCTAATGAATGAATGCGCTTTGAACCCGCTATCGCTGTTACCGCCTTATGAAAAAATGTCTCTGCGCGTGGCCTGATGAACTTGCATTGAATGGAATCGTCATGTACCCGCCATATTTCCCCTTGGAGATCTACTGCTGTAGTGTTCGACAAGAAACGAGTTATTGCTTCTTCAATCTTGCTCAATCGGTTCAAATCTTCGGCACGCACAATCAATTGATAATCTAGCAAAAAGAAGGGCTCCTCTTCACAATTGATAATGATAAGAAGCCACACATTCGACAGAAAAGGATGGTCCTGTTCGACTCTGTTATGCAGGTAACTTGCCACGTGCCTGAAGCAGATGCACGGCATAAAATGACTTTGTCAATAGAACCTGACGCAGAGTCAGAAAACGATCAGAATATTGGAAAACCTGAAATAACCTCCACGTCAATGTCTCTACGAACAAGAGTGGTTTCCTACCGGAGTGGAGAACTCATTAACACGCACGTAAGCTCAGTCACATAGTTAAATCCTAATTGCCACGTATTTGAAAAGGAACGCAAAAACCACGCTGACGGAAATCCAGATAAATAATTGGACTACAAATTGGCAATGACCGTCGGATACAGCTACGTCATGCTGCAGTCGATCGGGAAGAACACAGGTATTTTCCCTTGGGCCTTCGCTTCACTTTCTCTTCCAATATCTCAGGAATTTGCCGGTACTCAACTTCCAGTTAGACTATTTGGCCCACCAAACTGCCCAATAAGAAAGAGGAATTTCGGAAAATTACTTCGTGAGATCAGTGATGGGCCACACTTCTGCTGCTTTTCGCAACTCTTCCTCTGGTCATCCACTTTTTTTTCTCATTTGAAGGATAGCACTTCCTGTAAAACTTACTGACTGTCAAACATGAAGCTACAAAGAGTGACGATATGCCTCCTCTTGATCCTTGGAACACTAATTCAATCATCCACTCACGCCCAGCAAGACTTGTGGGCTGAGGGTGAGCTGAATTGCGCTCAGGAATACCGAGAATTCGACCCACTTACACAGAAGCAAACATACTATGTCGGAGTCCACGCCACAAGCGGCTTGGAGTTGGCCCACAAGCAATTCAACTTGACTTTCGAATCGTATCTAAATGAAGCGGTTGGGAAACGATGGAATCCTCCCATCGAGTTCAAGATGGTAGTCACGGAAACACCTCTTCGTGATTGGATCGATCTCAAACAAGAGATTGACTTTATGTACACGGATTCCGGGGTATACAGTTGCATTGGTCTTGAAATTGGGGCTCAGCCTCTGGCTACGACTATTGCAAGATTGAAGGCAAGGGGGCGGGAATACGAGGTTGATGTTTTATCAGGTGAGTACTGATGATTGCTGATGATTTTCAGGTGGATTCTTGAAAGACAAACAAACATTCGACATGGTTCTCATGTTTCTCTGACACGTTCCAAACACAGGTGCAATGATCACCCTCGCGGACACGAAAGATATCGACAGTGTGGAAGATTTAAAAGGAAAGATCATTGGAGCCCATTCCTTCTCTGACTTTGCTAGTGCACAATCACAGTTCTATGAAATGCAAAAGAATGGTATGGATTACATTACGGATCCAAAGCAGGTTGTCTTCACAGGAAACGATGAAGAGACGGTACGAGGAGTTCTCGATGGACGATGGGATGTGGGCTTTGTACGTACCGGACAAGTGGAGAAAACCTTAGATCCCTCTACGAATAAAATCGTGGATGTGAGCCTCCTGAATGTACTCGAACAAAAAAATAACATCATGACGAATGGTGAAGTCTTTCCGTTTCTCCACTCCACTCCAGTCTTTCCCGAATGGCCCTTGGCAGCAAAAGAGTCTGTCGATGCTTTAGTAGCGGAGGAAGTGGCGAATGCAATGATTGCCATGAAGTACCATGGCAGTATCGGGGAGAAGATCCAAGAGTGCATAGACGAAGCCAGAACAGACCAGCAAGCCGCTCTGTGCAGGTCCACGCCACTTGTCAACCTTGACACGCATACAAGATGCGATACTACGCAAGAGATGGCTGCTCTTGCCTACGAAGCAGAAATAGCTGGGTTTCATAGCGGGTTCCGTTCTCCAAGATCTTACTTTTATATTCGAACGATGCAGCAAGAGGCCGGCTTTGTGATTCAGAATGAAAAGAATGCAAAATGGCACTGTGAACGGAACGGCGAGCTCTTTGACGGTATTGTTTGTCCAGAAAATCACTATAAAGTTTCAAGAGAAGTCTTTGAGACTCAGTGCGAACAAGCTGGAGCTCCTTGTCCGGAAGGTCATTCGTGCTACTGCAGTCCTTGTATTCAAGCATATGAAGTGAATGTCTATCCATATTCCGGAGAGCAAGCATCCGAGAAAACTGGTACCGACCTTGGCTGTGGCAAAATGTCACTCTGCGGTATCGTGGAAAAGGACAAGGACCTCACATATCATGTCTATGATAATCTTGAAAGGGAGGATGCTGTCGTCACTGCCATGGCTTTTCTGGGAGCAATCACTCGCGAGCTACCCGTCACACAGATTGGACCATTCTTGTACGAATTTCAGCTTACAAAGAGTGAACCTGGGTTGGCAATCTTGGAAGTCTATGTCGACGGCATCACCATTCCAGAATCACCGATGCAAGTTCAGGTCATCAGTAGTGATTGTGAAGCCACGTACCCTGGAGAATTTAGGATACCGGTACGTGAAATGTCGTTTACAGTGTGACTGCAGTTTTCAACCGACTAACGATCTTGCTTTCCGTTTCTTCTCAGGATGCAAACGGCGACTGTATCTGCCCAGTGGGAACATTGCTGATTGCTGGAAAGTGCGCCTCCGACAACGCTCACGAAGTAGGGGTTCATCCATGGACCATCGATGGCGAATACGTCCCATTGAATATTACAATCCAGTCCGGCTGCAACAAGATGGACATTTGTGCTGAAGTACCCCAAACGAAAGAGATCCGATTCCGAGCCCATGACAACCAGCTACGGCACAACGCTTCGATCGAAGCCCTGATTCATATCGGTCAAGAAGAATGGTATTTGCCTGTGAGCAAGATCGATTCATTCGTTTACGAGTTTGGTTTCATTCACAACGAAAAAGGAGTGGCGATATTGGAAATCTTCTTTGATGGTATCCAGATCCCTGATTCACCAGTGCGAGTAGACATCGAATACAGAGATTGCGACTTGGATTACCCCGGACAACGAATGACTCCAGTAAGTAGCATTTGAAGACTCAACGTTGCAATATTGAAAGAGTTTTGGTGGGCGCTAAACTACTACCTTTTTTTTGAAATACAGGGTGAAACGGGAGTTTGCAAATGCTCTGATAGTACGGTGCTGATTGGCAGTGAATGTGTGCCTATCAGTGTTTTTGCTGCCATCGTAGCATCTATTGGGGTGCTCATCGCATGCCAAATTGCTTATTGCTTTTTGTCATATCGCAGAAGGAAGAATGATGAGATTTGGCAGGTTGACCCAGAAGAGCTAGAACTCAGTCACCCAGTTGAAGTGATTGGACAAGGGGCTTTCGGCGTTGTACTTGCAGCAGAATATCGAGGTACCAAGGTAGCAATCAAGCGTGTTATCCCTCCAGATAATGTACAGATCAAACGGGTAAATTCGCGTCCAAGTGTTTCTGGGAGTATTATGGTATCGGGCTCCGTCTCCAACGTGAACTCCCAAGAAAATGGAAGCGACCCCGAGCTTGGACAAGAGAATGGAGTTACTAATTCAATGGACGCAGGCACTGGCTCCGTGACCAATAGTAGAGACACGACTGAGAGTGACTCGAATCTATCTATCTTGTTTGGCGGCGTTGAAAGGGGGCACAAAAGAACAAGGATGCAAAAGTTCTTTCGTACGCTATTCGACACCGAAACAAGAAACAATTTGAGCCTCCTCGGCTCGGCAACCGGAGGCACGACGTCAAGATCTATAAAGAGTAAGGTCCTACCGTGGTGCGACGAGACTGCCAAACGTCATAACGAGTTCAAGACCGAGATGCGTCTTTTATCAAGACTGCGCCATCCATGTAAGTATATTGATATACCGTCGTCGTATGGTACTGTATTCGATTGCCCTCACACATTCTGCTTTGTCCCACAGGCATCACAACAGTAATGGGTGCTGTAATGACTGGAAGTGACCCCGTAAGTTGGTAACATCGATCAATTGTAAAGCTCCTCTCCCTGCTCGTGGTGGCTTATCAAATTCTCTTTTGAATTTTTTAGATGATGGTGATGGAATTCATGGAAAATGGGTCTTTGTAAGTACACATGATTGACTTCCGCACGGGACTCCCTTCTATTATTGGCTCACCGCTTTTCATTGCTTTTGTGATTCGTTCAGATACGACCTCCTTCGGAATGAGACGTTGTACACTGGTGGTGAAATCATCATGCAAATTGTTCGAGACATTGCCCAAGGCCTTCGATTCTTGCATGCATCCAAACCGCCAATCCTGCATCGCGATCTTAAGGCGAAGAACATCCTCATTGATTCACGATTCCGTGCGAAGGTTGCTGACTTTGGTTTGGCAACAAACAAGCCTGGGCTGCATGGCACACCCTTCTGGTAAGCATTAATTCCGGGACTTGCAGCGTTGTTGCAAATTTTTCTCACACAAGTGTTCCACAGGATGGCCCCAGAGTACCTCTTGGGAAAGAAAGAATACAACACTTCTTGTGATATCTATTCCGTTGGTAAGGATGAGACAGACTCCAGAATATTTTCATTCAATCCTTCATTTGCTGATTCTTCTTTCTCTTCTTCACTTGACGTTCTCAGGAATGATCATTTACGAGATCTATAGTCGAAAGATTCCGTATGAAGGGCAACATCCAAGAAAGGTCCTTCGCAAGGTCTGCGATCCTCGCATCAACTACCGACCAACAGTTCCAGATACATGTCCCAAACGAATGGCAGAGATCATGGCAAAATGTTGGAGTCGAAATGATGGCTTCCGTCCACAAGCCAAGGATCTTGACATGCTCTTTTCCGACATGAACGCTAACGATGCAGAGCCATTGATTGATAAACAAAACACACGTCTTCGCACAGAAGTAGCTGCGGGAGATATGTTGTACCAGGTCTTCCCAAAGAAGGTCGCTGATCAGCTCAAAGCCGGTCAAAAGGTTGAACCGTGAGTCTCGTGCAACGGAAATCTCCCACATTCATAACTTGCTTCCTTCTGTTTATACTAACTCTTGCTTTGTCTTGTAAAACAGTGAGACGCACGATAATGTGACAGTCTTCTTTAGCGACATTGTCCGCTTCACTGACATCTCTCGAGCACTGTCACCAGTGAAGGTTTGCAATATGTTGGATCGATTGTACGTTGCATTTGACGCATTGGCCAACAAGCATGGAGTATTCAAGGTCGAGACAATCGGCGATGCCTGGGTTGGAGTGACTAATCGTGAGTACATGCGGGACCTTTACGTTCGATCGGAGTTGTGGTTTCACTTTGGCTAACAAGTTTCTCTTTGATTTCATCCGATGCAGTTGAAGATGATGAAAACTCTACTCATGTGAAACAGATTGCAGAGTTCGCAGTCGAAGCAGTCGCCGCAGCAAGCAATGTTTTGATTGATGAAGACGATCCATCTGCTGGGTATTTGCACATTCGAGTCGGCTTTCATTCCGGTCCAGTTGTCAGCAACGTAATTGGGTCACTGAACCCAAGATACGCACTCTTTGGAGATACCATGAACACTGCGGCTCGAATGGAAGGTCTCTCGACTAGTGACCGTATTCAGTGCAGTGACGCATCGGCACGTCTCTTGAAGGAGCAAGCACCCGACTTTCCACTGCGGCGTCGCGGCAAGGTTGCCGTGAAGGGAAAAGGTCAAATGACTACCTATTGGGTCGGGACTTCTCCGTCTCTTGAAAAGAGTCCAAGCCGGCAAGGCTTTGATGACAAACCCTTGGTCGAGTTTCAGGAAGAAAACGAGGAAAGAGGGAGAAATAGAAGATTCCGCAAGCGCAAACCCAGAAAAGTGAATATGACGGGTGCAATTGAAGAGGATCCATCGAACTCGGCTCCCAGCATCTTGCGAAAATCTATTATGAAAGGAAGGGACAAAGACCGAGACCTCAAGAACATTCTGTATTCGCAGATGAGCTCGTCTATGTCACAATAGTTTGATTCTCCATAGCGCGAATCCAACCCACAGTTACTATAGTGTACATTATATTTTCACAGGATGCTTAATCGTCGTTTGCCTTCTTATTTTCGCCAAAAGTTCTTCATAGTCTTTGCGTTTCGTTCATTTGCATTGAGATGATGCTTCAAACCTTGTGGATTTCAAAGGTGTTGTTCTGTAGTAGGTAGCAGTGCAGATTTACGATAAGCTTTCTAGTACAACAATATTATTGTGCTGTTTGCAATCGTCGAATCATCTTCCATGCATACTTTCATAAAAAGTGTCACACCGGTATGATGAATAATCATGGTAGTCGCATGACAGGGCGACGTGCGCACGTAACGTGCGTACGACACAAGGACCATAATTTGTGACATCATCATTATTGGTTCCACCACAAGACGAAACTGATGGCGGTCCTGTAATAATTTGCAACTCTGAAACCTCTTGATTGCAGAAAGGATTGCTTCGTTTCACTCCTCAAAGCAAACGATGAGATATTGCGAGTTCAGGGCATTCGAATTCAGAATAAAATACAAAAAACCAAGAAGACAACAGCTGCATCATCTGAGCACTCTTCTCTCCCTGATTGGATTCATCGTTCCTTTCAGTTCCACTTTCCAGATCCCTTCTGTATATCCTTCAAGACAAACGCAATACCGTCCATTTCAGGAGGCTCAGGTACAATTCAAGCGATCCAGCAGCCACAAGCCGAAGGGTCTCTTCTCTTCATCAGACATTAGTGATTTCATCGAATCAGACAGCATCTTAGGAGACGAAGACGAGGACGAAGAATACGATCCAATCATGAGCCTCTTTTGGCCATCGCGTAGAGACCCGAATCAGGCCGATGGTGACATTGAAACGGAAGACGAAGAGCGCATCCAGCATCAACAAAATCAAAACCGCATCTTTGATTCCATCATTAAGGTTTATGCTACCCATAAAGAACCAGATCTAATCATGCCATGGCAATCGAAACATCCAGTGACTTCCACGAGTTCTGGATTTGTCATTGAAGGGAATCGAATCATGACCAATGCTCATTCTGTCGAGTATGCGACCATGGTCCAAGTTCAGAAACGAGGGGATCCGACGAAATATCTAGCCGTCGTAGAAGAAATAGCGAATGAGTGTGACCTTGCAATCTTGAACGTCTTGGAGGAAGTGGTTGACGACGACGATGAGGAATTCAATCTGAGCATGGAAATTGAAAGTCAAGGCGGGACCAGTGGCGATGAGGAAATGAAAAATGGCGAATCCAATGGTATCGAAAACCAAGAGCCAGTAGAAAAGAGCCACCATAAGGAGTTTTGGGCTGGCTTGGACGATCAGCCACTCCAATTTGGATCTTTGCCCGAGCTTCAACAAGAAGTTGAAGTGATTGGGTACCCGCAAGGAGGAAATGGTTTGAGTATTACGAGTGGAGTTGTATCCCGGGTGGAGCTACAAGAATATGCTCAGTCTGGAATGCACTTGTTGGCGATTCAAATTGACGCCGCAATCAATTCTGGAAACTCGGGAGGGCCTGTTGTGAATGATGAAGGTCAGATTGTTGGGGTTGCGTTTCAATCGTTAGATCAAGCTGAAAACATTGGATACGTCGTTCCAGTCACAATCGTTCAGCACGTTCTGGAGGATGTTAGACGAAATGGAAAGTACACTGGTTTCTGCCGTCTCGGTACTCAATCTGCCTATTTGGAAAATCCAAGCATTCGAGAGTACCTAAAGCTGCCAAAGCGATTTCGCGGGGCTGGTATGATGGTTCGAGAGTGTTATCCCACTTGCTTTGCTAAAGACTACTTGAAGCCCAATGACGTTATCATATCTGTGGATGGCATTCCAGTCGCACAAAATGGAAACATACCCTTTCGACAAGGCGAACGGGTCTCCTTGACGTCTTATATTCAAACCAAGTTCATCGGTGATAAGCTCGACTTGGAAGTTTGGAGGAAGGATGGAGAGACGAAAAAGTCAAGCCTTCAAAACATTGAAGTCCCCGTATCTCCAAACGTCAGTTTGGTTCCGCAACACTGGAACAACAAATTTCCACCTTATCTGATCATGGCTGGCTTTGTATTCGCCCCTCTCAGTATACCATACCTAGAAGCGTGCGATGCATGGGGTGACTACATTTCCGCCTCTATCAGCAACCTGTTGGGGTTCGTGCGAAAGCCGCAACAAGAAGAGGGGGAAGAGGTTGTGATATTGGTCCAAGTGTTGGCTCATCCTTTGAATCTTGGATATGATCAACTCTGTGACATTCAGCTCAGCACTTTTAACAATGTCAAGGTGAAATCTTTAAAGCATTTGAATGAACTCATTGAAGAATGCAGAAAAGAACCTGCCAATGATGACAATGAATTCATCACACTCGAATTCGGTCAGAAGGGGAATCTCGTCATACTGAAGCGAAGTGCCATTCCTTCGGCCACCAGGCAAATCTGCAAGCAATTTTCAATAAAGAAACCATACTTTGATGCTAGAATGCCATGATAGCTGAAAACTTTTAGTGGAAAGTGTTTGAATACTATAGTCAGTATAATGAAAATAAGAAGGGAGCAAGAAGTTCTATTGATGTGATGGGCCATTATTCCAATCGTTGCATTCATGCAGCACTCTGCATAATCTATTCTATGTCTACATTTTGAGCAATTAGCTTTGTCTCATGCGGATCGGGCAATTCTTGTGTTTGGTTTGGTGGATGCATCTTCTTTCCGTCTCGCCCACACAGTAGTGGTGTCATCATCCAAGATATCGTCAAGATCCAAAGAGTTGCTACGCTTCTTTTTCTCGAACTTGAAGGACGAAGGTCGGCCTTGCTCGAGATTCATTTCCACGCTGAAATCATCTGAGGACTTGCTTCGTTTTGGTTTCTGAAACCTGAACGAAGCGGATCTGCTGAGTTTCGACTGGTAGGACAGGAGAATACGAATGTGGTATCCTGGTGATTTCCCAACCTTGGCCACAGAGTCCACCAATCCCTTGTAGAAGGACCCCATTTCCCATTTTTTGTCCTTGGCACTCGCGGCTCGTTGCCTTTGAATTTCGGTAACTTCCACCACAGTATCCACAATCTCGGGGACTGAGTATCCGGATGTCAGCAACAGTTGGGCTCTGTGCTGAGCATCCAACCTTGGACATCTTGTCTCGGATGATCGTTTTCTCTTGATACAGTGTTCGTATTCCATAAGTTCGTGTCGATATTGCTTTGTGCAATTCCATGAAATGCCAACAGGCACACCAGCTGAGACAGCTGGATTGTCAGAAAGCATAATTGGGAATTCTCGAATGACAATGTCGCCAAATCGAACAGACTTTGCTGTTGATGATACTGAAGACGATTCACTCATGCTTTGATATTCCTCTGGTTTTAGATTTATGTTTTGATTCAGATTTGCATACAAACCGTTCGAGATGAATGTAATAATGTGTCTTGGTTTTGTGAGAGCGTTCCATGTCGGTAATGTTCCGTCTAATATATATCGGCAAAACTACGAGAGTAGTTTACCCTTGTTTCCGAGCCCAAGGTTTCATTTCGGTTCCTTTTGTTCCAAATCAAGACTTCGTTATTTAACGACTGCGAAACTCAAGGTAAAAAGACTCGCTTCTACTTATTGATCGACCAAGTGCCGGTTACTGCCAACAGACATAATTCTGGAATGCATCACTCAGTGATTCAAAAATACAGGGACGGCCGGGAAAATCAATATTTACTCCCAAGAATTGTATGCTAAATTTCTATTTCCCGGCCGTTCCAGTGCGTTACGTTCACTTTTAGTCCAGCGGAGCACAAACAGTAGGCATCAAAATCGCGGATGGTTAGCGACAATGCCTCTACAACCACGTACCTGGTACCTGGTACGGTACTGTAACAGCTTAGAGGTTCGAATGATGACGTCCTAAACATGCTGGTGACAGTGCTGTTGAAGAGACACGACAGAGCGAATTGTCCCAACCAATTTAATGTTGCATTGTACCACGTAGTTCTACAAGCAACGGGAAGAGATGGGTATCCAATACCGGTACGTACCGGGTAACATTAGGACCTGGATTTCTTCGTGACCGGCAATACATGATACATGTACATCCATCAGGTGGTGGTGGTGGTGTCAGTCCAGAAGAAGCGCGGCTGCGCTGCTGGTTCTTCGGATGACTGTTACATGCAGTATCTTGTAACAGTGCCAGTCAGGTTGTCATTGCACCTCTTGATCGCAGTCTTGGTTCTGACTGTCGTTTCTGAGCTTCCTTGAACTGTGTTTCTGTTTCTATCAGATGAACGGCAAGAGTATCGCTCTACACCAAATCTACGACCAGAGTATGAAACTGAACTTAGGTACATATAAAGTCCAATCTCACCATACGACTGACTGCAGGACGGCCATAAATTACAGTACTGTAATAGTCGTTCCGGTCAATCTTCGATTCTGAGTCGCGCGTTGTCGCGCAGAAGAGACATTATTTGAAAAGGTACAGTACAGTATTGGTAGCCGTTGTACCGAACTCTATGCACGCGCATGCGCCTTGCCACCCTTGCTTGCTCGCAAGTCATCGTGGAAGCAATCAAGCAGATGAAGCGAAAACGGAAATTTAGGAAAAAAGAGGTGTCCATCTAGCATCACTTTGGACTTGAGAAACCCCAAGTCTGGCTTATACAAGCATTGTAATTGCTTGTATACTCCTTGGTGAAGCCACTGCCGGGCTCAGCACTTCAAAAATCTGCAAAACCGGCAAAATTGGAGGTTCAGATTAGACCACAGAAATTTTTCAGAGGCACACAGTCAATTCTAACTCAAATAAGTTCAATGATGCCTCCTCCATCGCCGTCTTCGGTTCGTTGGCATTATGACAATCGAGGCTTTCCACACAAACCACTATTAGAAGATCCTGCAATCAGAAGCCAGATACCATCTACAGCAGAAATGAAAAGACGGTGGGACTTTCGTAACGCCATTCAGGAAGAATCCAATCAACATCGACGCGTCTACACAAAACCTGATTTTGTAGGTCACAGCGTCACTCAATTACTCAACAGGAGGTCAACGTATGGCTCTTCCCGAATTGGCACAAAGAGACTGCGTCATTTTGCTGAATACACTTCCGTAACGCAATATCAATCCAGTTTTCTAGCACATTTGGGAGGACAGGATGAGGTTGTCAATGGTCAGCGAGAACAATCGAGTCAAGCAGTTTCCTCAATTTCAGTAGCCTTTAGTCCATGTGGTTCTACCATGGCGAGTACGCATGGAGATCATACCGTCAAGATTACCGATTGCAACTCGGGAGGCTTGCTTCAAACACTAGTAGGGCATTCTCGAACTCCGTGGACCTGCAAATACCATCCTTTGCGGTCCGATATTGTGGCGAGTGGTTGTTTGGGGCATCAAGTACGATTGTGGAATTGGAAAAAGAATACTTGTTTGGCAATGATTCGATTGGAATATGCCATTATTAGCCTGAGCTTTCATCCCTCTGGAAAAGTATTGGGAGTAGCCAATGGTACCAAGTTGAATTTCTGGGGACTTGGCGATTTGGACAACTGGTCGGAAGGTGGAGGTGCACAGAGTGGTGGTGGCGATACTCGTGTATTGGGCATGTTGACCGAAGTGGATCAAGGACACATGCTTCGGTGTGTCCACTTTCCACCTGCTGGCACGACTGTCATTGTCGGTGGTGTCAACAAACCGGACACGAACCAACAGAACAGTCGGCCAATGAGAGGAGGGATATCAGGTGGTGGCATGACGTTCTACCTTAAACTATTTGATTTTAATCTACCCATGACGGTGGATCGACAGTCCCGACAACAATTTTCTTCCACGAGGACACGAGCCAGGGCTCTGGAAAATGTAAGTGATACGACGACGACATTTGTATTGAATGAGTGTATGAGGGTTGTCTGTTTGCTTACACATTATTGCTATTTTCCCTCAATTATTCTGCTACAGCCCCGAGTGTTTGTTCCAAGAGCACTCCTCTATAACGATGGAGGGTTTGATGTTTCACCGGATGGCAAGACTCTCTGTGCGTGTGCAGAATACTGGCTACCAGACGGGGTGAATAATGCCATGGAACTCCTAGAGTATCAGAATGAACAAGATTATGACGACGATGATGATGATAGTACAGATGGCGATGGTTCCGGTTCTCCAAAGAAACCGCAGAATGATACCCCGACATCTACGACTGCGGGTCCGCCCTTTTCTCCGACTCTGAATAAAGGATCATTGCAACGAAATGCGGATTCATCACCTCCTCGGGGAAATACTACACCAAGAATACAATATCCCAGCATGAATGCTGGTAGTAACCCTCTACGCACTCCAACTCCACAAACACCTCCAGCCAAACAAGGCCAAATGACACTGAGTCCACCTTCTCCGCCTGGTAGAAGATTTGGAAAGGGATACGGAATGCAACCAGGAAGATATGTCCCTCACGTTGTTACGATATCATTGGATACGACACCAAGTGATTCTATCGAACAAGACCAATTGCAAGCCATGCTGTATCCACCGCCGGCTGCGGTATTACCCAATTCCGCTGCCGCCGCTGCTGCTACTGCTACGCGCAACAAGAAGCAAAAGACACCGAGACGAGGCACGGCCAAGTTACGACCAAGATTAGGGCAACTGCTGCAAGCTTGCCCACTAGATGGAGCCAAAGCAAGTGCAGTAACTTGTGTCAAGTTTTCGCCCAGTACCAATTTTTGTCTGATTGGCTACGGAGTACGGGAACCCATTATGGAGGGCAACCCGACCTTGCCGCTGCATCCAGTCACTGCACTATATGCTACAAGTCCGAAGATGACGCATGTTTCGACCATGCTAAGCCCAGACGATGATGTCAATATCGCTCGATTCCATCCACATTCTGGCGTGGGATTCTGCTATGGAACGAAACAAGGGCGTCTTCGAGTGCTTGGTCCACGTCCTTGGAATTATTATAACTGCTAACTGCGTTGGAAATTTTGACATTTACCTGCGTTATATTGTGGTTGGATTGGAAACCTGTGTCAGCTTGAACTGCTATTGTTTGATGTAGGGAGAAATTTCCCCACTCCCCAGATCCTTTCTTGCCTGTTTTTTCTAAGTTCAAGTGACACGTGCCAGATGTCGTGATATTAAACCAATGCGTTAAACACAATAAGAGTTGACATCGTTTTGCCTATGTAGAAAACATAAACAGCGTCTTAAAGATTTATTGGCACACATGTATGAACGGAGATCACATGCCAAGTCACGCTCACTGAAAAATCTCCATTTCCTAAAAATTGATAATCACAAATCACCTCGCTCTCCTTCATCGGCAGCAAAGCCGGAAGTCGACAATCAAGATCATGACGCTAGATGAAACAAATTCACCACAAGCAGCCTCGTGCCAAAATATGCTAAAAAAATCGTTAGATCAAGCAATGCAGCTGCAACAGGAGCTTCCCAGTATGGCTCTGCTGACGGATGCGGTCGAAGAATTGAGCACAGCAGCCTCCAACACAATCGCTTCCGTGCGAGAATGGTCGATGGACAAGGAAACTGGCTTGCGATCAGCGGAATATCGAAATAATATCTCAAATCTGGCAGCATGTTGTAAACCATCAACGAGCATGGACGACGGGGAGACAATGGTCACTTATGATACCACGGAAGAGGAACATCATGGCAAGATGATACAGAGACTTGCATCTTGGAATACTTTGGAAACTTCTTGTCGAACTGGTATGGATATCGACGAGCAACCACCTTCAGAAACTGGCGCAAAAAGGACTGTAAAGTTTGATTATCCTCCTGTCCAATCCATGTCAGAAATTCCTAGAGTAAATACAAAAGATATTCCAAAACTCTTCTTTTCGGAGGAAGAATTGACCCAACTTCGTCGAGACAGATTCTCAACGATGAGAGCGGAAGATGTGGAAGTCGTTGCCATTCCTCCAGAAGATTCGCTGGAAGAAGAGGAACCCTCAATTGCTTCTAGCGCAAATTCAATTACCGATTGTACGGATTTGAATGATGGTTCGTCATCATCACCCATCACAAGGTCCTCCGAGCTTGACCTGAACGCTGCGATGACCGAGCCTTCAAGAAGCACCAAGTCGGATCTTCAAGGAAACAAGAAATGGAGTAATGGGGCAAGCGAGGAAAATCACCCCTCTTACAATGTCAAGATATTGACGAGATCTATTGATGAATACGGCAGCAGTCCTCGTTGATCAAGAATGTGATGGTGGCAACGTTGTACGTGGGCACGAACCTGCGCCACCATGTCCGTCATGCTTGTTGTCAAGCTTGACCATGGTTTTTCATTGGTATACGTGTACGATGAAAGCAGGTATTGTCGGTCTCGAGATTTAGATTTTCGGAACAGTAATTGTGCTGTCTCGAAACTTGAGAAAGTGAAGTTGAGTCGTTGAAATGTTTTAGGTTTCCAGAACCAAGGGCACACATAGCTAGCTACCTGGTAGTCTAGATAAATATAATAGGTACGGGGTCCGAGATTTGTCCTATCCTGATATAAAACCTGCTCTCGCTTAGAAGTTCCGGAAACACTAGCATGTTCCTTGATTTCTATCTGTAGATGACAATGAGCTTTTGTCAGTCAATGTATTCAGTAGAAGAATTAGATGTACTCTATTTTATAGCCGATTCATGAATATGTAATGTGGGGAGTAATAAACCATCATCGTGATTTTTCATTCTGTCTGGCACATGAGGAAAACAGAAACCTCATCGCACACAAAATGTCTCTCAGTGTCCAACGGATTTACTCAAGGAATATTACACGGCTTCATATTACCGACAAAACAAATGGATCGTATTTGATTGCGGAAATCCAATAGATCTTCTCTGGACAATTCGACGAACGCCGCCAGCTGCAAAACTGTCCCTGATGCATACCAAAATCTAATCGATAAACTTTGGCTTTGTGACGGACGAAAAGATTCCCACACATGCGATAACCCCGAGAGCCTTACTGACATTGACATAGACTTCAGGTGAAACTCTAGTCACCTTGTATGTCCCAGCTCCAGCACCCTCAAAACAGGCTTCCCATGTCAACCCCATGGCAAAGTAGCCACCAACACTCGCCCAAAACGTCAAGAACAAGCCCTTTTGTGGCTGATATGCTCTTCGAAGGGCTGCGGCATTGTTTTTTGTATCCAAATAGTGCATAATCACTGGAAACAAATGGAACCATAATGCTCGGATATAAACCAAAAGATCTGATCGGCCTTTTGGAGCCAAATCAAACTCCATATTCGGATTGGCAATCAATGTCCAAACATACATTACAAATAGGGCATATGCTCCACTCAAACTTGGGCCATGTAGCCAAGGAAGAATTTTTTTTGACGACAAAGGTAACTCAAAGTACAGCATGTGCAAGATCCAGGACCACAGCGTCAAGTGTTCTAACACTTGTGCCTGACTTGTATAGATATCCCAGAACAGAGAGATGAGCATCGCATAGAACTTCCACCGGCGATCCGTTTCGTCTGGAACAGGCTTGTTGTACTTGTCGACATCTCCGCTAGTCATGGTCTTGTTTGTTTGGATAGTTCACACTGATGAATATAATAATGCCTGTTATGATGATGATTAGACATCGATGCATGGAATAAAACTCTGTTGCAGGTATATATTTTGGATAGTGACACCTCAAATGTCTCAGGAGACCGGCTAGCGCTTCAAAAAAAACGGGTTGAAATAAAAACGGGACGGGGAATCCCGTAACGGGACAGTACATATATATCGACGACGAGGATATGATGATTTGCTGTTTTGCTATGATAGATGGGCCTTTTAGTATAACTGATATGCACTATACCCAACCTTTACGCTGGGTTTAGCAGTCCGTCGCTTTTGGTCCATCCGCAGCGTGCGAAATGCAGCGCTCACTTTGGTTCTTGCAACACTGTTTTCAACAGTGACCCATACACCATCATCTTCCCGCAAAAACACTCCAGAATTTTGAGTGATAATAATATCCACAATTTCTTGTGCGATTTTGATTTTCTGTCCTTTCTCCGCTCTAAAATATCTCTCATGATACTCCAATACTAGCGATCGCAATGCTCTATTGCCAGCATGATTCTGAATTGGAGATCCTTTGCCAAAGAGAACATCGTGTTCTCCTGGAACGTGAACGATCCTTCTTCTCGGTTTCGCCCACCTTTCTGCACTACGCTGTGCCAACAGTCTTTGTCTGTGAGCACCAAGGTCTGTAATTTCTCCTCCTTCAGCAATTGGAATGATGCCTCGCTCAATACCATGCCCCTGAAGGATTGACATGACTTCCTCATGCGTGCCTATGTACATAATGAGGAATCGGACCAGATGAGCTTCAATATACAACATACCAATGAACCATGTTTTCATGTCGTCAACAGCAACGTACCATAGTGGTCTCGTGTCCTGAGCTGCGCCTGAGAATTTAAACCTGCCTTCACCATCGAAATATTCTCTCGCTTCAACGTGCCGTCGTGGCAAACGTGAAGTGCGCTCACTCTGATTGGAAGGGATTCTGTGAGCTTTGGGAATTTGTAGTTGCCATCAGCCTGACCTCCGATCCCTCTTCCATTGTTAAATGAATATGCAACCAGCACGTATCCTTTTTTCTGAAAATCAGGATCCTGTAGCTCAACCATTGAGTTGTAAAAAGCACGACGTAGCTACAAATAGACATTAGTATAGCGCGGCACCAAAGTAGTCCTAGTCCCGAGCGACGGGGGCGCTTACCATAGAAATCGTCGTAGACTTTTTTCCAGCCAGCACAAAGTTAATTGTCCTTCCCGCACGATCTTTGTTCGGAAGGAACCTCCCATATCCACTATACAATGCTTCCATATCATCCTTGTCCAAATCATCTTGGGTAATATCCACCACTAGCCTATCTTTCCCAAACAGCTTCAGTTTCAATTGAAAGTGCCGAGCTAGACGAGCCGCTGCTCGTTTGGCATCGAACACATCGGCACGTAGGAATGCCAACACAAAATCAGGATTGCAGACATAGGTCCTGTCCATTGATACCGCAAGATCGTAAGCTTCTTTTTCCGTCAGCCTTCCGATTTCGTATTGCACTTGGAGCAAACTTTTATGTACAAGTTCAGGCGTCTCTTTATTCTCATCACTTGAAATTCCATGCACATCCAGGTATGTCTTTTCTCTGTCCACTGCAGAGATGGATGACATCCGCTTTGCAATCAAGGAGTCGACATATTTGAGATCAGTGGCTTCGGCAGGGATAACTTCATGATCATCTACTTTCAAGCTTCTACCTCCTCGATTTTCTCGATGCATTTTGTACAGTTGTTGAAGGATTGATGTTGCTCTGTTTCGCTTGCATAAAAAATATGCGAAAGTAATTATACTTTTTAAAAATATAACGGAATATAAATTCTATGTGCAACCGAATATACGGGAACGAGTACGTAGTACACGTGTACGTTGAGCTCTTCTTTTGTTCCCGTCATTTTCTGCGTTTTCGCCGATATATACAGCAGGAGGAGTGAGTCAGTCAGTCAGTCGTTCCGTTCAGTTTCGCGTTTTGGCTATATAAAAAAATGCATTTATTTTAAAATACATACAATATAATAAACATACTGTACTTCAGTTTCACGTTTGTTTTCAATATGTGTAGAACTCAGATGACAGTCTGTACCGTTCAAATGTACCTACAATGGCGAAAATCTCTGCTGCAGTGAGTTTTCATACGCTTCCAACGTCCTAGCTCTATAGTCGTCTGCCAGGCTGAAGCGATCACATGAGAAGAAATATAACATGTTTCCCATTGTGTACACTTGCTTCCCAATGCGGTAGCCACTTAGCTCGTGGTATAAAAACCAGTGATGTAGTGAAGAATGATAAGGCTTGCAGGATTTCGTCGAATGGGGCGAGTTTTACAGTCACTAAAGCTAATGGCTAACGTGTATCCAGCTTTGTGTCGGTTCATCAACCCTGTACTGCCTCCAACTTGCAGGCACCAGAGCAGTAGGAAGATGATTGATTGATTCGTTCATTTTTATTCGATCTTGGAAGAATATGACGCGCCCGCAGAGTCGTTTTCCACAATTTTCATTCTGCATGCAGTTTGCATCATATGAGCGCTTTTATATTATTATTTCGAAGCCGCGTGTCAAGGAAGAACTTCGCTTTTGACGCTCATTATATAACCTTTTTCAATTCACGAACAACGCACATCCACATCATCTTTCCGATCCCGACAAAATACGGCTAACTTCAGTACCGGTAGATAATGATAGCAATGGAACAGCAACACGCGTTATGCGTTGGAAGCGGAGATGTAACAACAGACATCTTTTCGGGGGAGATTCCTGACATTACTCCAGATCTCGACAATCAAGCCGAGTCTGCAATCGCAAAGCTAATGTCAGCCTTGTCATCAGAAGCGAGAGAGAAAGCCTACAAGGATATGCACGGGGTGCCTGATGTTGCGATGGAGTCACCCGAACTCCTTCAGAAGGGACTCGGCCAATTGCAGTTCGAGATTGATAACATCATCGACAAACCTGCTTATAATCAAGCTTTGAAACAGGATCCCAACTATGTGTGCGATGAGGAATTTCGCACTCTCTTCTTACGAACTGATGAGATGAATCCAGGATTGGCAGCTCTCAGAATAGTCCGCCACTTCCAGTTGAAACTGGATCTTTTTGGAAGCGAATGCCTGACAAAGACCATCACGCAAGATGATCTGGACAGAGACGATATGGAAGCATTGTACGCAGGTCGAGGAAGAGTTCTTCCGTCAAAAGATCGCGCAGGAAGAACCCTGAACTTGTTTATAGTGGGGCAACCTTCTTCAACGCAAGCAATGGTAGGTCAAAATTGACCTGGCTTTCTATATACACTACGCAAACAAGAACCAACAAACTCACCTGCCTGACTATCTCATCACGACTTGTTTCTCAGCTTCGACGTTCCTTCTACAACATTATGAGCAACCCCCAAGCTACCCAAGGGGGCATTGTGACTATTATCTATGGGGTGGGATGTCAGTCAGTTCCAAATCGAGCGTTTAGTTGGAAGTTCCCCAAAATTGCGGAAGGACTTCCGGTGCGAATTTCGGCTGTTCACATGTGCCAGAGCAAGTCTCTGTATAGCATGGCTTTTGCTTTCGTCATGATGGCATTCGATGCTTTTACTCGGATACGAATCAAAACGCATAGTGGTAAGACTCGTGATCCAATGGGAGGCTCCGACGCGGTGAGACTCTGGGTCCCTCTAACCTTTTGCTTCAACCTTTTGTGTAGGAACACATGACGAGGTCATGGCAAGTCTCCGGGGATATGGCATAGAACTGGAAAGATTACCTCTCAACCGAGATGGTAAAATTAGTGACTTGGAAGAGTACCGACAGGGCTTGCTATTACAACGTGCCAGGGAGCGTCTTCAGCATCCGAGAAGAAATAGAATCCATGTCCCATGCATGTTTGATGTCCTTTTTGGGAAAGGAACTCCGTTCCAAAACCACGTGGGTAACAAAAGGTTCCGTTTGATGGTAACGGAGCAACAGCAGAGGTATACAAAGTCCGAACGTGGAGAAAAGTTGCAAGTGGCACAGGACATTGTGGACAATGTCATTGAGAACTCTGGGGTGTTCTTGAAACCAGATGGGGAGTCGTGGATAGCTGTGGAAAATGATGCGGCTCGAGCCAAAGTCAGTGCCACCTTTCGAACCATGCGAAGGACCAATAAGCGTCTACAATCATCGTGCAAGAACTTGCCTAGTATTAATAACCGTTTGTCATTGAAAAAATCAGGAGACAACAATGAAGGGTACAATATGAAAGACGCATTCTATTAACGGTCCAAGCACAAAATAAAGCTTTGTAGGTTGCACTTAATTCAGCCTAATACTATTTGGTCTACACACAAAACACACTTGGTCGTCGTGGCTCTACCGGTATAGTACCCAACTCATAGAAAGAATTTCAGAGCAGGCTTGGCCTTTTCCAGAACGAGTGGATCGCTTCCTCGAAAGTTGTCGACTACTTTCGCGAGGTGCGTCACGATATTCTTGTCTTCCAGCATCTTCTTGACTTCCAAGTCTTTTGAAATTTGAAAGAAATAGATACAACCCCACTTTTGCATGTGAGAGTGATGGGGATATTGACGCATGGTGCTCATGACAAAGTCTGTACAGTCTTCATTTGCCACCACGACGCGGGAAACATCACTGAAACTAAGGGAACCAAGCAATCCCACGACATTACTCTTGAGAGGTAAGTCCTTGGTTTGTTGCGCTTTGGTGGGCACTTTTGGTTTCGATCGTTTTGTAGTAACGCCCAAGAAACCACCACCACCAGCTGCTGGAGCGTTTTCTCTATTAACAATGTCTTCTTCCAATCCAAAAGCTACGTCCGTCAGAGAATGCTTCTTGGCAGCCATGAGAACTGTATCAACTCCACCAATATCCACAATAACCTTTTTGGTGTCCTCCTCCAAATATACCAAATCACACAACGTTGCCAAGGCAAACATGCTAAATTCTTGAGATGCTGCCCATTTCCATAGGGCAACCACAATGGTGGACACTCCATTCAATTCCAATATTGTCTTGGCCTTTTCACGTTCCTTATCCGAGTCCAAAACGTCTATAAACTTTTCAACAATCTTCATTGCGGTGACAGCCTGAGTCAGGGTTTTGGCGTCCCTCAGATCTTCTAACATTGCCTTGACATGAGTAGCCAGTGGCAGAGTCAATTGGGTATCAGACTCTTGTTGAGCCCCTCCTGCAGCTGCATCATTTTCTGCTGCTGGTTCTGTGCTCATATTGACGATGCTGATGGATATTTTCTGATGAATTATCTCTGATGAATTATCTCTGATGAATTATACCTGATGTGAATTGAATTATTCGGAGCTGATTTATTCAGAGCTAAGATTTCGATCGCGATGGCGATGGCGATGTTTCCTATTCGAGCTTTCAGTTTTTATTGATGATAATGTCAGTGAGGGCAGTCGGATTCTTCCTTGTAAATGTGATTGACACAATTGCTACTCGTCTGTAATGTTCAAATGTTCAAATGTTCAAATGTTCGCAAGTCAATCAATACAGTGCGCGATGCCATGCAATGATTATTATTTGTTGTTGTGAATGCGCCCCAATCGGTTTCATGTTCTACGAGTCATCTATGGTCATTATGTTGACCGCGAGCGCGGGTCCCAACTTTATCCCGCCTGTCATTATTTTTTGAAATCGATGATGATTCATTCGACTCCTTCGACAACTGTAGTGTACGCACCACGCATGTATCATCGCACTTCCAGTTTTTCCTCTCTTTGATGAACAATCAAAAACGAAATGAGAAGCTTGTTGCTTCATTTGCCCTTTGTTTCAATATGCTTCCTCCTATATAGGTCCAACCCAGTTGATGGAGAGAGCCACGACTTGGATCCAGGTACAGCTTGTCAGCACGCTCCTTTGCGTGAGTTGCCGGATATGAGAATAAGACGTCCACCAAGTAGTCATGAGATTAGCAACAGCAATGTCAATGACAATCATAATGAGGAAATGGAGTCACGTGGTGGCTTAATCTTCTTTTTGCATGTTCCAAAGACTGGCGGAACTTCGATTCGACGCAACTTTGAAAACTTGGAACATGTGGAATACATCTTTGGTCGAAATTATTCAGTTTATTGGAATGAAGCACCGAAAGTCGAAGATTTGATTCAGGGAAAGTCCCTTTTGCAACGCAATCAGAATCGCAAACACAAGAATCGACTGCGAGCTATCAGTGACGAGGGCAACGAACAAGGAAAGGTTCTATTCTTTGAAGTTCATGCTTCCACAGCTCCATCGTTTTATAACTTGAGACAACGATTGGCCCGTTGGAGACAAGTCGCCAAGCGGAATCAAGTTCCAGTTTTCTTTTTTACCGTCGTGAGAGATCCAATTGCCTTTGCTATTTCTCATTTCAATTACTTTCATGTGGACGTGCGAAACCCCTCCTTTGAACATGTCAATGCGACCCAAGAGAATTTCTTGCGCTTCTCTCTGCACAATCCGCAATGTCAATTTTTGTTCAAGGGGGAAGCCTCGATGCGGAAGCAACTCAACAAAAGGAAGACAAAGGAAACAAGTGCAAAGTTGGACGATAGCGCCGATTCTGAGAGCTCCAATCCTTTCAACGCTAGTGCCATCATTTCATCAGACGAATGCTCAAAAGTGCAGGATCAGATGCTAGAATTGTTCGACTGGATTGGAACAACGGAAACCTTGTCCAATGAGACGCTGCCTCTACTAGCGGATATACTGGGCCGGGATGGGAAGTTTGCAACTTATCGAGTCTCGGACAAAGTGAAAAAAGTGCCAGTCGATTTGTGGGGGAAAGAACACATGACTGACTTTGGAAGGCAAGTCATTCAAGAACGATCGCAATTAGACTTGGAACTGTACCACCGCATCCAAGAAGAGTATCCCTACTGCATGTGGAAGACAAAGGATCCTCAAAGGCAACAGTATCAGCAGTCACCACAAGGCAATGAGAACTACGAACCACAAGGGAACGAGAATTACGAAGACTACGAAGACTACGAAGAGCTCTGAATGCATTACTATGCTGCTATTGTTGAATATGGATACGGATATGGATATTTGTTACATACAATTATTTGCAGACATACCCTTTTGTGAGCTGGATTCGCAAGCTATTGTGACATAGACGAGTTCATTTCAGAATACAGAATGTTGAGGTCTCGGTCTTTGTCTTTTCCTTTCATAATTGATTTTGGGAAACTCATGGGAGCTGAATTCGATGGATCCTCTTCAATTGCACCAGCCATATTCAATCTTTTGGGTTTGCGCTTGCGGAATCTTCTGAATTTGCCTCTTTCTTCCTCGTCATCATCTGCCTCGAATTCGACCATGGGCTTTTCATCAAAGCCTTTGTTCATGCTTCCACTCCTTTTAAAATCACGCGATGAAGAAGTACCGACCCAATAGGTAGTCATTTGACCTTTTCCTTTCACGGCAACCTTGCCACGACGGCGCAAGGGAAAGTCGGGAGCTTGCTCCTTCAAGAGACGTGCCGATGCATTACTACACTGGATACGATCACTAGTCGAGAGACCTTCCATTCGAGCTGCAGTGTTCATGGTGTCTCCAAAGAGAGCGTATCTTGGGTTCAGTGACCCAATCACGTTGCTGACAACTGGACCGGAATGAAAGCCGACCCGAATGTGCAAATACCCAGAAGATGGATCATCTTCGTCGATCAAAACATTGCTTGCCGCTGCGACTGCTTCGACTGCGAACTCTGCAATCTGCTTCACATGGGTAGCGTTTTCATCATGCTCCACTGCATTGGATGAAATCAAAGGGAAACTTGTTAGCCAAAGTGAAACCACAACAAACTCCGGCCGCACGCAAAATGCCGCATGTACTCACGATTAGTCACTCCAACCCAGGCATCGCCGATCGTCTCGACCTTGAATACTCCATGCTTGTTGGCCAATGCGTCAAATGCAACGTACAATCGATCCAACATATTGCAAACCTTCACTGGTGACAGTGCTCGAGAGATGTCAGTGAAGCGGACAATGTCGCTAAAGAAGACAGTCACATTGTCGTGCGTCTCACTGTTTTACAAGACAAAACAAGAGTTAGTAAAAACAGAATGAAACATGTGATGAATATGGAAGTTTTCCGTTTCACGAGACTCACGGTTCAACCTTTTGACCGGCTTTGAGCTGATCAGCGACCTTCTTTGGGAAGACCTGGTACAACATATCTCCCGAAGCTACCTGTGTACGGAGACGTGTGTTTTGTTTATCAATCAGTGGCTCTGCATCGTTAGCGTTCATGTCGGAAAAGAGCATGTCAAGATCCTTGGCTTGTGGACGAAAACCATCATTTCGACTCCAGCATTTTGTCATGATCTCTGCCATTCGTTTGGGACATGTATCTGGAACTGTTGGTCGGTAGTTGATGCGAGGATCGCAAACCTTGCGAAGGACCTTTCTTGGATGTTGCCCTTCATACGGAATCTTTCGACTATAGATCTCGTAAATGATCATTCCTGAGTAGCGTCAAGTGAAGAAGAGAAAGAAGAATCAGCAAATGAAAGATTGAATAAAGTATGAATGAAGCCAAGTTCATCCTTACCAAAGGAATAAATGTCACAAGAACTGTTGTATTCTTTTTTGCCAGTGAGGTACTCTGGAGCCATCCTGTGGACCACCTGTGTGAGAAAAATTTGCAATTATGCTACAAGTCCCGGAGTTAATGCTTACCAGAAGGGTGTGCCATGCAGCCCAGGCTTGTTTGTTGCCAAACCAAAGTCAGCAACCTTTGCACGGAATCGTGAATCAATGAGGATGTTCTTCGCCTTGAGATCGCGATGCAGGATTGGCGGTTTGGATGCATGCAAGAATCGAAGGCCTTGGGCAATGTCTCGAACAATTTGCGTGATGATCTCACCACCAGTGTACAACGTCTCGTTCCGAAGGAGATCGTATCTGAACATTACAAAGCAACAAAAAGTGGTGAGCCATTTTATGACAGAAAGAAGTCAGTCCTGTGCAGAAGTCAATCGTTTGTACTTACAAAGACCCATTTTCCATGAATTCCATCACCATCATCTAAAAAATTGGAAAGAGAATTTGATAAGCCATTGCGAGCAGGGAGAGGCTCTTTACATTTGATCGGTGTTACCAACTTACGGGGTCACTTCCAGTCATTACAGCACCCATTACTGTTGTGATGCCTGTGGGACAAAGCAGAATGTGTGAGGGCAATCAAATACAGTACCATACGACAACGGTCTATCCATATACTTACATGGATGCCGAAGCCTTGACAAAAGACGCATCTCGGTCCTGAACTCTTTATGGCGTTTGGCAGTCTCGTCGCACCACGGTAGGAGCTTAGTCTTTATAGATCTTGACGTCGTGCCTCCGGATGCTGTGCCAAGGAGGCTCAAATTGGTTCTTGTTGCATTAGTGTGAACAAGTCCAGGAAACCACCTTTGCATCCTTGTTTTCTTTTGCGCCATGGGAAAGCCGCCAAACAAGACAGATAGATTCGAGTCACTCTGAGTGTCTTTACTATTGGTCACGGAGCCAGTTCCTCCATCCACCGAACCTGTGCCTCCATTCTCTTGTCCAAGCTCGGGGTCGCTGCCATTGTCTTGGGAGTTCTCGTTCGATGCAGCAACAGATACCACAGCACCACCAGACACGCTTGGACGTGAATTAAGCCGCTTGATCTGTGCATTATCTTCCAGAGGGATAACACGCTTAATTGCTACCTTGGTCCCTCGATATTCTGCTGCAAGTACGACGCCGAACGCCCCTTGTCCAATCACTTCAACTGGATGACTGAGTTCTAGTTCTTCTGGGTCAACTTGCCAAATCTCATCATTCTTCCTCCTGCGATATGCCAAAAAGCAATAAGCAATTTGGCATGCGATGAGCACCCCAATGGTGGCTGCGATGGCAGCAAACGTACTGATAGGCACACATTCACTGCCAATCAGCATGGTACTTTCAGAGCATTCGCAAACTCCCATTTCACTCTGTAATACAGATAATAGTTTAGTGTCAGCCATCCCGCTTTCAACGTTGAGCAATTACATGGTACTTACTGGAGCCATGCGTTGTCCCGGGTAATCCAAGTCGCAATCTCTGTATTCGACGTCTACGCGCACTGGTGAATCAGGGATCTGGATGCCATCAACAAAGATTTCCAATATCGCCACTCCTTTTTCGTTGTGAATGAAACCAAACTCGTAAACAAATGAATCGATTTTGCTCACAGGCAAATACCATTCGTCTTGACCAATATGAATGAGGGCTTCTAACGAAGCGTTGTGTCGTAACTGGTTGTCATGGGCTCGGAATCGGATCTCTTTCGTTTGGGGTACTTCAGCGCAAATGTCCATCTTGTTGCAGCCGGACTGGATCGTCATATTCACTGCGACGTCCTCGCCATCGATGGTCCACGGATAGATACCAACTGCATGAGCATTGTCAGAGACACACCTTCCAGCAATCAGCAGTGTTCCTGGTGGACAGATGCAGTCCCCTTGTGCATTCTGAGAAACAATGGAAAGCAAGATCGTTAGTTGGTTGAATCTGCATGGTATTGTAAAGGACATTGGACGCACCGGTATTCTATATTCTCCAGGGTAGATGACTTCGCAAGCGCTGCTGGTAATCTGAACCTGGACCGGGGATTCTGGAATGTGAACACCATCAATTAATACTTCCAAGATTGCCAACCCAGGTTCACTCTTTGAAAGCTGGAATTTGTACAAGAACGGTCCAATCCGTGTGACGGGTAACTCGCGAGTGATTGCTCCTAGATAAGCTACGGCTGTGACGATAGAATCCTCCCTTTCAAGGTTGTCATAGACATGATATGTGAGCTCCTTGTCCTTTTCCACGATACCACAGAGTGACATTTTGCCACAGCCGAGATCAGTACCAGTTTTCTCGGATGCTTGTTCGCCAGAGTATGGATAGACATTCACTTCATATGCTTGAATGCAAGGACTGCAGTAGCACGAATGGCCTTCCGGACAAGGAGCCCCAGCCTGTTCACACTGAGTCTCAAAAACTGCTTTTGAAACTTTGTAGTGGCCTGCTGGACAAACGATGCCGCCGTAGAACTCGGCGTTCCGTGCGCAGTGCAATTTTTCTGTATCAAAACGATTAATGCAGTTAGCGATTAGTACATAACAATCCTCCTGCTGTCCTCACACCACACATACCATTATATTCATCCTCAACCACAAAGCCTGCCTCTTGCTGCATCGTGCGTACATTAAAGTAAGATCTTGGAGAACGGAAGCCGCTATGAAACCCAGCTATTTCTGCTTCGTAGGCAAGAGCAGCCATCTCTTGTGTAGTATCGCATCTTGTGTGCGTGTCAAAGTTGACAAGTGGCGTGGACCTGCACAGAGCGGCTTGCTGGTCTGTTCTGGCTTCGTCTATGCACTCTTGGATCTTCTCCCCGATACTGCCATGGTACTTCATGGCAATCATTGCATTCGCCACTTCCTCCGCTACTAAAGCATCGACAGACTCTTTTGCTGCCAAGGGCCATTCGGGAAAGACTGGAGTGGAGTGGAGAAACGGAAAGACTTCACCATTCGTCATGATGTTATTTTTTTGTTCGAGTACATTCAGGAGGCTCACATCCACGATTTTATTCGTAGAGGGATCCAAGGTTTTCTCCACTTGTCCGGTACGTACAAAGCCCACATCCCATCGTCCATCGAGAACTCCTCGTATCGTCTCTTCATCGTTTCCGGTGAAGACAACCTGCTTTGGATCCGTAATGTAATCCATACCATTCTTTTGCATTTCATAGAACTGTGATTGTGCACTAGCAAAGTCAGAGAAGGAATGGGCTCCAATGATCTTTCCTTTTAAATCTTCCACACTGTCGATATCTTTCGTGTCCGCGAGGGTGATCATTGCACCTGTGTTTGGAACGTGTCAGAGAAACATGAGAACCATGTCGAATGTTTGTTTGTCTTTCAAGAATCCACCTGAAAATCATCAGCAATCATCAGTACTCACCTGATAAAACATCAACCTCGTATTCCCGCCCCCTTGCCTTCAATCTTGCAATAGTCGTAGCCAGAGGCTGAGCCCCAATTTCAAGACCAATGCAACTGTATACCCCGGAATCCGTGTACATAAAGTCAATCTCTTGTTTGAGATCGATCCAATCACGAAGAGGTGTTTCCGTGACTACCATCTTGAACTCGATGGGAGGATTCCATCGTTTCCCAACCGCTTCATTTAGATACGATTCGAAAGTCAAGTTGAATTGCTTGTGGGCCAACTCCAAGCCGCTTGTGGCGTGGACTCCGACATAGTATGTTTGCTTCTGTGTAAGTGGGTCGAATTCTCGGTATTCCTGAGCGCAATTCAGCTCACCCTCAGCCCACAAGTCTTGCTGGGCGTGAGTGGATGATTGAATTAGTGTTCCAAGGATCAAGAGGAGGCATATCGTCACTCTTTGTAGCTTCATGTTGAAATCCATTTCGAGAGTAATGATGGATTGCTTTGTGATTGTCCAAAAAAACTGAAAAGGTGAGAAACGACGATGTCTTGTTGAGACCATATTTCGATCTGGAATTTTCACGACATTTATTGTGACGTTGAAGAGAACACGTGCAGGTCCCAGACATCTAACGCCCACTTTCTCTGTTCAGATGGGCACTTTTTCTATTTATGGAAGATGGGTCGGCTTTTGATACCCACAACCTAAAAATGCTGACTGCACGCGAGCTGTTCGTACTCCCAAGATTATTAGTCTCGAGCCTTTCGCGCATAAAAACTTCTCCAGAAGCATTGGCAGCAAGCAGGAGATTGAAGACGATAAGAAGCGGTACCAAGAAGCCCTTCTATGCTCACAGCTGGTCCGAATGACAAGGTGGCGACGGATACAAAAGTACGAAGCACTGCATCAACGAACCCTTGATACGAGGAAGGCCTCAGAAGGAAAGGTCTATCTAGTACTTTACATCCGTGAGCCGCGGCACGTGCCTACTCTACAGTAAAGTGCCTGCTGGTACTATTCAAAACTCTTCCACCAGTTTAGATAAGAGTTCAGCAGCAGCTTCATGAAGCTACTACTACCTTGCTGCTATGGAGTCGAAGGGACGAGCTGTCATCTGTCATTGTTATAACCATCGTACCTGCTCCTATCGCCAGCTAAATCAAAAGTTGGTGCATTCATTCATTCAATCCTCCTAAAATATGTTCGGAATCGTCTTCGAATACCGTGTACAGTAGGCGGGGAGGGTACGAGTACCAGGTACCATGGTACGATATGTTGTCAAGGCCATTCTGCACATGCGAAAATGGCTTGTATACCGCCCCTTGGTTATTGGACAGCAATACCCGAAGTCTTGAAAGTAGTATTATATTGGCTCCTGATCCATACCGGTATTATTGATGGGCGTTGCATTTTTAAAAAAATCCAATCTCTGTAGTGGCATTTTAATGCCAATAATAAGACCGTGCAAACGGCAATTTTTCGGTGATTTTAGCCTTACCGTATGCTCGAAAGTAGTTTATTACGACAATTTTTGATTTCGGGACGATGATGAATCAACTGATTCGCATCAACATGCATTCACGATGGGAAGATGATTGACAGCGAAACGGAAGCCGAAGAAGGTAACTAAGCCGCCTACAACACATACATAATCTGCAATACGTGTACCAGCCACCAGATCAATTGGTTTTACATTTGCAGTCATGCAAGGTCAGCGAAGTGGTGTGATAGCTATATCGACGAGAAAATGAAACAAGCAACTTCGAAACTACAAAGATGAGGCTCGAAACGACACGACCAAACAGTAACACTTGAAGGACTCCGTTTCCCTCTTCTTGTGCTATAGAGGTCGAAGTTCTGTTGATTGTTACATTGGAGAACTACTATGATCTCCGTGTTGCCGTGGCAGTTGCTGATGGCAATTGATGAAGATGTTCTTGATGAGAATTGCGAAGATGACTGCCACTGGGAGAGAGTGGAATGAATTCAAGGAGATGAAGAGTCGTAGGTATCGTAGTATAGCCTTGGATGTAGGTCATAGGCCAGCTTTGTTACGTATTCCCTCAGTACTGTAGTATCGGCACATGGTAGTGTTGTCAAAGGTTAGAGTCTCAGATGCCATTTTGGTTTCAATTTTGGTTTCAATTTTGGTTTCAATTTTGGTTTCAATGTTGGTTTCAATCTACAGTCTTGCTACAATACGCAAAATTCAACGAGCCGCCTGGTACACGTGTACCTGGTGTACTTGTACCTGGTACCGCCGGTACACGTTTAGACCTGTTTAACAAAAGTAGTCATTTAACACTTTTTATGTGAAATAATTAGGGATTTAACACTTCTATTTCACTCTGAGATTTCTGTGTAGACAATGTACTATGCTCTACGATCATCATTTCATGTAAAATACTGTCGTTTTCACACATCAAGCTTTCTAAAATTTACCAAATGACCCAAAGACTATTAGGTAGGATTGGTACGACGTTCTACTTCGGATCACATTCAATTCATCATGGAAACTCCTCAACCATCGTGTCACTCTATCGATGTTGTGCTCGTTTTCCGTTTGCTATCTCCATGTTATCGTTGTTTGACACCTCCATTTCGTCTCCTCGGATCATAAGGAGTAAAGCAGTCCACTCTTCCAGCCAACTAGCTAGGCTCCGGAGGAGTTAAAACTTGTGTGTCCCTACACACCTCGGACGACCAAGGCTTGGATCACGCCAAAACTTAGTGAGAAAAATGTGCGAACCCATGTCCCATGTGTTTCGCTATCGGGCGTAGAACATGGTACATTTGCTACACAGAAATCTCAGAGTGAAATAAAAGTGTTAAATCCCTAATTATTTCACATATAAATGTAATGACCTTGGAGTGACCTTGGAACTAGATTAGACCCTTTGGAGGTACAGACATAGCTTTAGGCCTAACGCTCACGTCACTCCTTTCTGTGGCTTTCTGAGAGACTCTATAACTTTTGTTGTGACCCATTCCTATCTCTTCTTCTAGGCTGGTTCACTATTCGAATAGCCATAAGGCTTAGATTGAAGACTACAAGAGTATACTCTCTCTCACACAAGCAACTGCTGTTTGATTTGATTGAAAAACCTCGATCCTTTCAGATTTACAACAAGTTTTACACACCAGTACTTTTTCTACGATGGCTTCTACGCACATGCTCCGTCAAACCATCATTGTCAATGAGGGCGACTCTCCATTGGCATAGTGTAATGACCTTGGAGTGACCTTGGAACTAGATTAGACCCTTTGGAGGTACAGACATAGCTTTAGGCCTAACGCTCACGTCACTCCTTTCTGTGGCTTTCTGAGAGACTCTATAACTTTTGTTGTGACCCATTCCTATCTCTTCTTCTAGGCTGGTTCACTATTCGAATAGCCATAAGGCTTAGATTGAAGACTACAAGAGTATACTCTCTCTCACACAAGCAACTGCTGTTTGATTTGATTGAAAAACCTCGATCCTTTCAGATTTACAACAAGTTTTACACACCAGTACTTTTTCTACGATGGCTTCTACGCACATGCTCCGTCAAACCATCATTGTCAATGAGGGCGACTCTCCATTGGCATAGTGTAATGACCTTGGAGTGACCTTGGAACTAGATTAGACCCTTTGGAGGTACAGACATAGCTTTAGGCCTAACGCTCACGTCACTCCTTTCTGTGGCTTTCTGAGAGACTCTATAACTTTTGTTGTGACCCATTCCTATCTCTTCTTCTAGGCTGGTTCAATAAAGTGTTAAATGACTACTTTTGTTAAACAGGTCTAAACGTGTACGATACTGTACCATGTACCTCAGAAAATTTGCGCGCGAACCCGGTATTTTCTGTACGTCATCATCATTGCGCACATCTATGCGCGCTCGCCCGTTGAGAATTCTGTATATAATCACATCAATTTTCCCTTCCATCGGCAATATGGTGAGCCTCGAGGCCGAGGAAATCATCACTCTCTGGAGGAAAACTCGTGGGCCGCGGACATTCTCTGTATCGTACCTTCTGTATCTTGTTTGTATGAAGCGATATGGATGAATTTGCTCCTTACACCTCTCAAATCACTGCTAAAGAACACAAACAAGGTACGAAAACTACTTTTGGAGCGGTTTTGGGACGTCTACGAAGTCCCAAGGCAACAGAGAGCTAGAATTTTCTGCGGAACTTGCTTCTCTTATTGTACTAAAGGCAATGATACCATTTAATGTGCATTATCTGGGTTCCTACAGGACGATTTTCAACCCAGACCATTGAGTTGCAAATTCGTCGGTCACAATGAAATTGTACGGCCTGGACCCCATGATTGGAGAAAGTGGAATCAGAGGTTGTGGCAAGCATAGTTGATATATATGCTACGTCGGGAGCGGCGGTAATGATGTTGAATATATTTTTTTGGCCGCAATCACACAATAATCCACCATGTTTGGTTCTGTTTGTTGCTTGGACTGGACGGATAGGTGTCAAGAAGACGTATTTGCCGAATGCGACTCATATCTACTGTCACCATCAAGACAAGATCTACACGGAGACTCTTTCGCAGTGTCCAACTACAAAAAATGACGATTTGGAGCACATCAAGGAGAAGTGATGCAATTGTTCCAATCGTTTGGACAAGCCGGTGTGGGCGTCCAGAGAAGTAAAAACTGCCGAACATGTTGTAGCAAGCATATTTGGTAGATAGACTATGGCTGGAGCGGCGCTTCGTACTTCTATTTGCCTCAATTACACACTACAATCTACCCTGTTTCGTTCGACTGGTTCTGTTGGGTTGAAGAACCTGGTCGGCAGAAAGTCAAGAGGGCCAATGCCTCACATTCAACCCTGTGATGGAAAGCTCCGCAGTGATTCTACTTACTCGGAGATCCATTCGGTTGTGTTTTGTTTGGAATACTTGCTGAGATATTGGAATTCCAGTGTTTGGTGCAGTCTGTTGCTTGTTCCCGTTTCAGCGTGAAGGTCGGTGTGGCCGCCCTGGAGACAGCCAACCATTCAACAATACACCAGAGCCTCACTTGGATACCTATTGTTGTAATTTTCTGGCACCCAGGCAATGGTTCCGCCTAGATCAAGAATCATGACGCCAAAATGGGATCAGAAATTATGGAAATCCGGTCGAAAAAGCCACTTGGTAGTGGTGTGGGCCAAATTTCCTAAAAGTGACTTGTTCTGACACATATTTGTCGTCCATGGGTATGTATGAGAAGATTGGTGGCTTTGGAGTGGACGTTTTCTAGTTAAAAGTGATTAAATAGCACTCACACTGCTTTGGGGATCAACCCACCAGGTCCATTCAAGAATGTGGCTGGAATCCTTCCCAGTAGCCGAGTCGACACCCTGACACGATGGCACCAAGTTCAAAGTTGCCAAAATACGTATAGTTATCGAATTTGGGCAGTGGTTTGGAGGGCTATGGCGGATAAAAGATTCTAGGCTGCTAGCATAATTTTTGTCTTCCTTTCCTACTTTTCAATTGACTTTGTGGAATGGCCTGGAATCTGATCGATGGTACACAAAGATCTCTAATTCAGAGTGGACAAAGTCCTAGCAAAGATATATAATTATAATATCGCATTGAAATTTATCAAAGAATGTAATCGCAACAAGGTCGTATGGTACGAGATCAGCTTCCGGCCTCTGAAGAGTTTTTTTTCCTAGTCAAATGACTCAATCCTCAGTCGATTGAGTCGAGATGTCTAACGGCTGGTTTTTATTTTTAGCCGAAACCACAAAGTTGTTTTCTGTGCTGGAGCCTCTCTAACACCTCCTTGGAACTTGGGATTTTTTACAAGGGATGGGCAAAGTTCTTTGAAAAGGTTTTAGGTCCATACAGTAGGTGGTTTTGAAATTTTAGCTTTGTCCCCAGAATTCCGAATTCCACCCGAATTTTGGTTGGGTACAGTATTTCGTGGATTGGGGTCATAGACCGGTACCTGGTACCAGGTACCATACGAGTATACAAAATGTAAACATGTTTTTTGGCGTTGATGGCTACCGTACATTTGGAAATTGGCGGGAGGCTCGGGAACATGAAAAATACTTGAAAATATAGACTTGACCAGTTTTTCACGTAGATTTCAATGGAGGTATCAGAAATCAACCAAAACCACGGTAAAGCGCTGGGATTTGATGCTAAAGTTTCTTCAATTACTTAACATCAAAGGTCTGGCAAAGGAGATTTCCTTTAAGTGGTGGCGACGGACAGACAGACCACTTAATACGTCGTTTTATTTCGCGCGTGCCGAGCATACAGTCACGAATATAACATAAATTACTTATGCAAACGGTAACCCCCGACCTTAGAAACAACATCTCCTCCTGGGATATTGCATAAGTCAAAAAACTGATTACCCCACGCCGCAGAGCATTATATGCACCGTGGCGCTGAAAAAACGATAATTGCATAACTCGGTTTTGTCGTGAGAAGATAGCTGTAGCGCATTCTCCTCCCGCCAATTTCCAAATGTACGCTACCGGTACCTACCTGGTACGTGTACTTGAAATGGAGACAAACTTTTCCGTAACCAGAATAAATAGCCTTCAATGGGGGACATGAAACAGGGGTAGTCCCTGTTTTCGGTCGAAAAGGGGTTGAAAATCCAGTGGTGTACCGGTACATTTGCAATAGAGGCACAGCTCCAAACTATACAAACGGCTTTGTCGCGATTTCAAATCGTTTTATTTCGACCTGCGCTACTTTCAATATGGATTAATAGTAAGTGTTAATGTACTCAGAAGAAGGTACAGCTCTAGTGTTGAACGAGTGGCTAGCTAGCTAGCTCTCTCTGTCATCATGAGATGTGCTGGCATGTCGTGGCCACAAGCACTTGGCCACTCGCACGATGGTGAACCAACAGCAGCCAAGATGATGGAGCGATTCCAACAGGAAAATCCAAGAATAACATATGTTAGATCGTGTGTTACCCACTGTGGTCCATGAGAAAGGATAAGAAGTTGCGACCGCGGCTGGGACAGAGGTTCCATTAAGCTGTTTCGCCATCATTGCCTCGCGGTGGTTGATTGTGGTATGATAGAGGCAGCTCAAAAGTATTTTACATATCAATGAAGCTTGCACCTACGAATTTGAGGGCTTCTGCAAAGGTTGGTAGGGTATCAATCGGTACGTTCGCACAAAATTACATGGGTAGTATTTGCATTTCGTTTTCGTACCGGTGTCCCTCTTGCCACATGTGCATATGCCACATGGATTCAAGAGTTGAGTGCTCAGAGAGTATCGATGGATTGGACCAAGAGTATAAGGGTGTCATCCACGTCTGTCTGTATACCGGTGCGCTTGCATCAAGTGTAATATACAGTACAGTATTATTTCACTCTGCCATTATTGTTACATCTCAACTGAGGCCCATACAGTGGTATTTCGTTTCTCTTCGATGGTGTTGCTGACAAAGGTACTGTCGCATTCATATCCAGGTAAAATTTAAACTTAATCATTCATCCCATTGACAGTTCGTCATTGTGACACTCTTTGTTGTTCTTTTCTCCTCATTCTGAAACTGAAAATAATGCGGCTCAAACCACAGCAACGGGCACTATGGACATCGTGTGAGGGTATATAGAACCAACTGAAGCCTCTTCTTGAAAATGAAAGTAAGCCAATCATCTGTTCAGGCACCATTTCTGAAGCGGATAGTGGTGCTGGCCTGTCGTGCAGGGCAGGAAAAGAAGTTTAGCAAAGTTCTTAAAATCGGTTCAGCAATCTTCATGGTCAGCAATTCGAATAGTCAAGGTCACGAAGACGGTGCCAGAAGACAGATGATCTGATAGTAGCGTCGCATCCAGTAACGCAGGTAAGGTGTTGATTGGCTGAGTTTGTGTCTGTTTTTCACGCGTAATAGTAGCCATCGCCGTTTATGTAAATTAGTTGGTGACATCTGATGGCTGTCGTGTGGCTAAACACAAAGGTACAACCGCAAAGTAGAAAATCGCAATCATAATGCGATGCGTCATCGGTCCCAGTAGAGAGCGAAACTCCTTTCCATACTTTTTTTGCAGCTCATACTCCGATATAAAAAAAAATGTGATGTTGACCGATATTATTTTCCATTTGTGCGCCACAGATTGGATTGCGGCCTCACCGTACCCTGGTACCGGTACTGTATGATACCAGTTACTTACTTCATAACCAGGCATTCTATTCTTCCTATTATTGACTGATACACTAACTTTTAAAACTTGAACCCCGTGCGACTTTTTGTTCGTTGTACTTCAACTATATTTGTATATTGGAGACTCGAAAAGGTCTCACTTCAAGCTCACGTCAGTTCACGTCATCTTTCTTCAAGCTTGTTTGCATCGGAAGGGGTGAGGAAACCAAACTATGGTAGGCAGGCCCACATGCGGTACGGAATTTACGTTGGGTTCACACAAATGGAGACTCCAAATGTTTCTCACGTCAGTTTTCTTCATCCCTCACGTCAGCTATATCGATTTCGTAGCGGAAGTATAAAAGTGGCCCGAAAGGATGAGAAAGCCAAATGTGTGGTGCCCATACAGATGGAGACTCCAAAAGGGTCCCGCCTTCACGTCAGTTCTCTAAGTGGCTCGTTATTGCGCAACTGACAAAGTGCACCGAAAACAGTGGCCCGACCTGGGAGGGAGAAACGAGCTCTTTTCCCGGAACGGCCGGGAAATTGAGATTTAGCATACAATTCTTGGGAGTAAATGTTGATTTTCCCGGCCGTCCCCGTGCGTTGCTTCTCCAATGCTGTTTCACGTCAGTTTTCATCATCATCCTTCACGTCATTACTGTACTGTAGCTTCCCAAAAAATGTGCTGCGGGACTGAAAGGACCGAACCGAACTCGGATCCATCCACTCTCCATTCAATCGCATCGAAAACAATTGGGGGCGGAACTTTTTCTTCGTTTGCCCGAGTGATATTTACCCATGGAAAGCAAGTAACGAACCGAACGCAGATCCATTCTCCATGATTCGAAAATACTACCATCGGGCGGATAATTTGCGCGATGGAAGGTGCAACTTCAATAATCCGAGTGCAACTTCAATAACCAAAGTGCAACTTCAACAATCGAACCCAAGCCAAAACCCTAATAGGAATAACTCACGTCAGCTCTACACTTAGAGAGCCCATTTGTTGTTTTTCCTTTTATCCATTTACGGCACACTTTGTGATCGAAAAAGCGATTGCCCACCTACAATTGAACACTTTGCGGGAAAAAAGCGAACTTACCGTTTAAAGGGCATGGTACCATTTCAATTCGCGACCTTACGATATTTCGGTATTGTTTGGAGCAGGGTTCGACTTGAAAGATGGTAACCCCGGTGGTGACGGCAAATTAATGTCAGATATGTCATTCGTGGAATCTCAAAAACTCCTACTGGTTCTCGTAGAATTCTACCTGATGAGAACCAACTTTCCGAAGGTCCCGAAACCAAAACTTTGCTCCCTGTTGTTACAAACTGACAAGAAACAGCACGAACAACAACCATGGAGCTTTCAGAGCCAACAATGCAATCGCAACAGATGCTATCCTTCCTAGGAAGCAATGATACAATGTTTGACGAGCCTGACTTCTCCTTTACTAACAGCAATAGTTATAGCAATTGTGGAAGGAGCCATCACAGCAGAATCAACATCAACAACAACAACAACAAGAGAAACCAGAATGATGAGTTCCAGCACCAGCAACAGCAAGACACAAGGAGAAAGGAAATGAAGTCCACAGAAGCTTTATTGTCCTCCGCAATTAACGAACTCTCCATGCAAGAACGATCCAAAGCTATGGACGATCTGCACTGTGTGGGAGACGAGATTCGAGAGACGCCTGAAATGATTCAGAAGTCTCTGGCCGAGTTTGATCAAGGCGTGCACGATGGTAACTTTCCAATCTATAACCAAGCCGCCAGTCAAAACAGAGCCTACGTGGAACAGCCTTCTTTCAGGTTGATGTTCCTGAGGGCCAACTCGTTTGATGCCAAAAAGTCCATCCAGCAAATGCTGAATCATGTCCGGCAAAAGGCAATCTACTTTGGGGTGGAGAAGATTGCCCGAGACATTTCCATTGAGGACTTGAGCTCCGAGGACATTGAAGTCTTGCTTTCCGGTCTCCTGCATGTGCAAGGAGACAAAGATAGGGCTGGAAGATCTATCCTCTGCTCGTTTGGCCATCTCATGGGCCATTGGAACAATCCTACGTGTGGATGGACGATTGAAAATGTGGTACGTTATATATTACCGTATGCTTGCCTCTTCGTTTCATTATTGTTTGTACAATCAAGACTCACCACGATGATTCGTCCTCCCTTGTTTACAGATCCGCGCTCATTACTATCTCATGTTCAACGTCTTGCTCCCCATGCCTGCTGTCCAAACTAAGGGGATTGTGGCGATTTACTACGAGTCCGTATCCAAGGACGCAAGATTCATCATGCCCACACCCAATGATTTTGTCACCATGAAGGCCTACCGCAACACGATACCCATTCGATACTCTGCATTGCATTTGTGTCTGAAGAATGAAAAACAAGGCCTCCCGTTGCAGAATTCCTTCTTGGAAACCATGCTCAAGTCCTTACCCCGATACACAAAGGTCCGCACTCGTCTCCATTATGGAAACGATACCGAGAATCTGAAAAGTCTGAGAACCTATGGAATTCCACCCGACAGCTTTCCCGTGGACGAAGAAGGCAAGATTCGTTCGGACATTTTGAATGTTTGGTTCATCAAACACTATTCAAAGGAAGGCAATAACAATCGAGGAGAAGAAGAAGCAAACAACAATATGGATGATCAGTCCTTTGAACTCTTTTCAAGAGACGATCATGACTTTCTCATGGAGGAAACCATGCAATTTGGCTTTGCCGACGATATGGGCACTGATGAAAGACCTATTGCCTTTCCTCTCATTGAGGTTCCTGCTCCTGCAGATAGTGGTACTGGTACTTATAGTAACGACAACAACAACAACGAACAGGTTGTGAATCGTTCTGCGCCTGCTCCTCCTGTCGACAACAATAGCAATAATAACGACAATGGCAATAGCAACAGGGAACCCGTCCAACCGGCGGAAACAGACATTTTGTTGGGACGAGGGGTCCGTCTGATGCAACATCCTGGCAACATTCGGTTCCGTGAATTCTTGGAACGGTACCAAGATGATTACGACCGTGCCCAGCGAAACAAGAGACGCAAGGTATCCAGTGAAGTAGTCCGAGCACTCACCGGGAAAGGTGTTCGGTTTTTGGAACGAAATGAAGATGGGGATTGGGTAGTGGCCGACCATGCCGAGGCGGAAGATAAAGTTGGTCAGCTCTTTCGCTCACGCCGCAAGCTGCTCAACAAGAAAGGGTCAATTGGTGGCTGCTGATTCAATCATTCATTCATTGATTCACTCTTACCATCTGAAAGTTGTCGATTCACCACAATGCACACATTTCCCGTATCTATGAATACGCATTGAGGGGAACTACTATTAGTGTCAATTGGGCTCTTGTAGTAGTAGGCTGCATGATCTCATGCCCTCCCGCCGTACATGCCGCCAGGACTAGCAAACTAGTATTAATACTATGTATTATAATAATAGTACGATGAATTGTAAATGATTTTTTCATCTTTTGCAGATGAGATGCTTTACTTGGTCAAATGTTCAGGTTCATCTATCCCCAACACATTCACTATGGTTATTATCATATGGATACTCCACTGACCACAACGTAGCTTACCTGATACTGTACTAGTTGTGGTATCTATACCCACTGTGGTACCTCGCAATCTACTCCGGTCGTGCCAGAAAATGCCAACGATGTCTCATGCGACAGTACTTGGTGTAAACAACGTACTTTTCAAATGTGCAAGATACTTTTGTTCTTCGTAGGTTTTCTTTCGCTAAGCATTTGGTACAAAACAACGGTTTTTACACGGGTGAAACAGTCATTCGCAAGAAAGAGAACACTCCAAATTTAAAAAAATTTCGGCATTCACACCCATCAAACAAACAAAAAACTTACCAAAAGGATTCCATTTCTCTTTTTGTTTCAATTTACAACAATTCATTCATTCATTCATTCATTGATTTTAGTATCATGAACCCTCTTTCTCTCCGTCTTACAACAGCAGTTTTGAGTGTTCTCTTGTTGGCTTTCCACCCACAAACTGTTGTTGGATTTGCCAATGAGAAACCAACAGCAAAACAAGCTGCCTTCTTCTCCTCTTCGTATCGAACCAGCAAGTTGTTGCAAAGCTCTCGTGTGCTTCCTTCAGAAGAGATCTCGACATCTTCTACGATTGTCAAGGCCATTCATAACTTGCAAGAACGGTTCACCGAGTACCAGCATGTTCGAAAGCAGCGCAAACTGGGACGAGAAGCTTCTTTACTAGCCTCTTATTGTTCGGACAAGAACAGCATGGTGCAAGGTTTTGTGCCAGTCGTCAAGGAATTCTTGCACAAACCCAACAAGAAGCTACTTCAAAGCCATGTCATGGCCCATCAACAAGCTCAATACGACCATTTGGTGCATGCGTACCACGAACAAGCATTGTCAAAAAGGGTGATGAAAAGTAGTAGTAGTACAACAGATGCTGCTATCGGACCCCTTTCCATTGGTCAATGCCTTGTGCAAACTAGAAAAGAGGCCAAGGATGCTCGTTTGGCCGCCAAATATGCTGCAATTGAATCTTTGGAAGATCGCGCCTTTCAAATTTGCAAGGATCTTGGAATGATCTAAAGCAATAAGCAATGCATTAGAACGAGAGAGAACGAACCAGATTACACACAAGATCTCTCATCAATTCATATATAATGCCACGACGGAACATATCCGTAGCGCACTCATGTACATACCAAGAACAGATCACAGACAATCCGCTCCAAAAAAAATCTCTCATGCCAGATGATAAACAACTGAAGAAACAAATGTCTAAGAGCCAAGCTCAGGCAGCATCTACTGTGGATCCATACTCCACGATACGGTAATCTAGCGATAAAGTGAAATACACTAGAAACATTGAACATATTATCCACACAATACATTGCTCATCAGCATATGTGAAATACTGCAGCACTATCAGCTGTCACGCCCCCTCTTACTACAGTATATGGCAATTGCATTTGAGTATATGGATATTCATCTGAAGTTGGACAGATAAATTTTGTACCTCAATTTTCTATGCGTATACATTGCCGCGGTCTATCGTCGGTATATTGTATATAGATGATGTGAAGACGAATTGCATGTCGTGCAGTTATGTCAGATACAGGATCCGCCGTTTGCGCCTCTTACCTATGCCGTATTGGATTGGATTGGATCAGATCAGATTCGTTGCTCGTTGTGATAGACTCTTTGGTCCAAAGCTAATAGCGAAGTCTGTTGCCATAATAAGGCTTCCAGACCTTCCGGGAGAATCACCATCCTGAAGCGTTTTTGAATCGCTTTGTTACTGCACTTTGATCCCGTTGTTATTGCATCGGATTCACTGGAATGTCGCAAAACTCGAAGCCTTGATGACCAAGCGGGATGAACGAGCAGAAGGTGGAATATCCGCACTATATATATCCTCTGATATTCTGTGTGCCATCAAATCCTCTCCTTTGCAAGAAAGCCATCTGGAAAGGTTTGCTTTGTTAAGAACTGAAGATCATTGCCGCATCGACGAAGAAAAAAAAGATACTTCTATATTGATGACGACGAGTCCAAACAGATCAGTGAATATGATGCGCCTTCTTCATACCTCCTTATCCTTCCTTCGGACGTCTCCGAAAAAAAGACGTCCATATGTTTCTCCTCAATCCTCGGTAAGGAGCAAATGGTCCAACGCCACATAATCACAATCTCGAAAGTTTCTCTCGGATGTGATCTATATGAACGCGATCTATACGGATACAGTGTTCTGCAACACAGCCCTTCAACCAACCTTGCGATTCTCCCACTTCATATGAATGGAGTCGGACAACAATAAGGTCCCCTAGTACTGCAAATACAATTGATGATAAAACTTCTACCAACAGTCTTGCAACAAGCTTGGAGATTGCAGCATTGCAATCATTGTGGTGTTTGGAGCGGTATGAAGCAGTGGACAGAAGAAGAAAGGAGAGATGCTGTAATGTCTAGTTGGTGCGCAACAGTGGTAGGAATGAGCAGCAGCTCTTCATGTACAGTCCAGTCAGAACCCTAGCCTTTTGATCTATTCACTAAAATCATAATTTGCTTGTTGCTTTGTAGTCCCTAAGAGGCAATAGTTTCTATTGCAACATGTCACATAGATTCGAGTATGTATTGTATCTACTGTACGTTTTCAATGAAAAATATAACACGTGGATTTGATTTGATTCAGTAAAGTACTGGTGTACGTGTGTACACGTGCGTACGAAACCATCGATAGTAAAAACAGAAAGTCACCTCACAACCTCGAATGAATGATACAGCACGTGCAAGAGCGAGAGAAAAGAAAAAACCTCTTTGTTCACACAAGTACGATTGAAAGTTCCCGTCACCATATTGTTCCGAAAGTTTCTCTTCAATTTTGGTCGTGGTAAAGTCTTACGTCACCTACTTCTGATGGTGGCAGTTGAAGGTTGCTACGATTGAAACTTGCCGTCACTGAAATCCTGCGAAAGTCGATGGGTATTTTTGGTCGTGTTGGCTGCCGAGCAGGAAGTCGACCAAGCTGGGTTCTGCCGGTTGACGCGTGGAAAGTTCGCTCAGAACAACCGTAATCATAGTAGACCGATATTGCGCTTTGACGGCGGATCGCCAATTGTCTTGGGATACTCAATTGACGTCCACAATTGCCGTCACCATTACGGAACTTGATCGTTCAGGCAATTGGTTTCGGGACATTTCGGGCTCCTTTGGCTGGAACAAAAGTCAAAAGACGTATGTAAAAGTGCATGCGGAACAGCTTCTAACAAGGGCGTATAATTCCTTCTACTTGTTCCGAAACAAAACTTCAAGGAGAATATTTCTCCTTTAATGGGGAGAACAGCTGAATAAATGTATATAATGTAGTGGTCGGAAATGCCTTGAAATAATGTTGTTAGGGACAAAGACTTTTGTGCCCTCTTCCATTTAGAGAAACAGGAAGGCGATTGATTCCTTAGGACCATTATAGCTGCCAGATGAATCCAGATTGAAAACAGCTGCCGTTTCATTCTGAATACGTGCGGCCTTGTTCCAAATTGGTCATTTTGATTGGTCAAATTGCATTCGTGGCCAGCCAATTCCCATTTGTGAGACGAAGTGAAATCGAAAGACGTTCGAAAAAAGCTACTTTTTGTGCCTTTCCACAAAAACACACATCACAAAAAAGCAAATTGGTACAAGAAAGTCAATAGCAACTTGAAAACAACCGCAACACAACAACACAAAAGAAATTACCATGGCGTGCCGAAAAAGAACCATTAGAGAAGTGGCTTCATCTCATAATTCCTTCAAGCAAGAGGCAGAATCAGCAGAAAACAGCGATTTTGCTCGACCTAGCAATGGTGACGGCAAACCAGAAGACAGTTGCAAAAAGCATTGTGTAGCCATCAATCGTGAACACTCTTCAGCATTATTTACACCGTCTTCCATGATTCTATCACCTGACGCTGTCAAGGAAGCTGGACTGAAGATTCTACTGGAAACCGAACGGTTAGTGAATCCTCAGCATCAGTCTGATATTGCCCGTAACGAAGATGATGGCAATGATGAGCATGAGGGTGAGAACGATACTAACAATGATACCAGCAACAGCAACAAGAAGACAAGACAGGTGGCAGCTGGTGCTTCCCTGAATCTCCCCTTGGTCCCAGATCAGTTCAGTCCCCACAAAGCTTGGAGCGAACAAACAGCAAAGTGGTCCTACGATGTCTTGGATCACTTGCAACTACCAAGAGAAATTGTTTACCTATCCATGCACATATTGGAAAAGGCGCTGCTGGCTTCCGATAGTGCAGGTGGTACAGGAGGAGGTGGTGCATGTTCTGACATTAATTTAGATGATTCAGGCAATGTTTCAAATGATTCAGGTGACTCATCAGATGATTCAAACACAGCTGGCGGTTCAGAATACAGGTTTGGAATCACAAACAAACACGAATACGAAAAGATTGCCATTACGTCACTCTATCTCGCAGTCAGACTATCCACTCGTCAGACACCTCCAACATCTCAGGAGCCGGGCTATGCTCCACTGCAGCGCAAGCTTCAGATTTCAGAACTCTTGTCTATCAGCGGGTCCACTTGGACGGAGCAAGAAATTCAGGAATGCTCTTCCCTGACCTTGGAATCCTTGGGACTGTGGAAGAACAAAGCTAGTGATATCACGAACTGGAACTTTCAACTCCACCAAGCTATGGTTCAGGCAACTCCCCATTCGTTTTGCAAGCTCCTCTTTTTTGGATTTCAAAAAAAAGGTGATGATCAAGAACAACAACGAGATGGAACCATGGTCGCTGATCATGCCTTTGTTCCACGCCAAACCCGCCTTGCTTGGCTCGAGCTGGCTCTCTATTTGATTGAGCTATCGGTATGCGATGGAAGCTGTCACCGGCTCTTGCCTTCTGTGGTGGCTCTCTCTTCCCTTCAAGCCGCCTGCAAGATTCTACAAGCAAAACCAGGAGCTCCCCCCGCTTCTTCCTTTCAGGCCTCCAAACACGTCATTGAAGAGACCTTGAGAAAAGCCAAAGGGGTATCGGAACTTCCCAATACTACCTTTGTGGCCAACCGACTCGAGTACATTTATCAACTAAGTCAAAATAACGGCAACATCAGCAACGGCACCCAAGGTAACAATCCTCGCCGGAATGCTGGTGCTGGTGGTAGAAATGGACGAAGCAATGCTCGTATCGCCTCTTGGTCTTGTCCTACTTTGGTCATGGATGACGATGGTGAGGAAGAAGCCGAAAAACAGCAACAGCAAGAAGCTGCTGCATTTGTTGCCAACAATCGCAATAATGATATTGTCTATGCAACTCGAGGAACAATCGCATCACAAACAGAAGAAGACCGTCGCCCAATCCAATACATACAATGCAACTTGGATATGGAACAAGCCTCGGATCGCAAGCACCGACCTATTTCCCCCTGCCCAATGATTCTGGATCACATCCACCGCAACAACAGCAAAAGCAATATCAACAACGCCAAGAAAGCCGCTGCTGCATCCAAGGCATTGTTTTAATCGAATACGATGTGTACATGTCAGTACAAAAACAACCCGATCTAAGAACAGGGAATAGAACGATATTATTATGATTTTTAAATGTCAACAGTTGTGAAGTAAATAGTCCAGTTCTTTCCATGACTAAGGGTACCTGTTACAATACAATGGTTTCATCCCAAGCTATAAAAGTGTGTGAAGCATTTCGATGCGTCATGCATTGGATTCTTTTGTGAGATGTACCGCAGGAAGAAGAATATGAGTCAACATCATCCCCGATCCGCCAAATCGAAAGTTTCGCGAACGCAGACTTTTTGGACCGTCAAATTTTTAACCTATTCAATGACCACAACGTTGCGCTATTTATCAGAGATGCTCGCAAAGGGAGTTTCTAGATTTCGCAATCCACTAATTATTTTGGAGTTCGAAACCAGGCCTTTATATCAATCGGTCGCGATCGATGAAGACAATTAAAGAGTCTCTCTAGACTCTAAGTATATTTCTTGCCTGATCAAGACTGGGCGGAAGTTTCGGCCCTAAATCTTTCATGCCACATTTGTTGGTTGCGTTTTTCGAGTTTTCGTTCCAGTTCGATAACACTTCCCTCATCTACATTTGTACCTTTACTGTACGATTCATTCTATGCAAGTAAAATAATAGACATGGAAGGAATGGAAAACGACGACTCTACCAATGATGCTCTCAGCTCCAGCAGCAGACAGCTGTCGGATCTCCAAGAGAAAATCCTTGCGATTCTCCCGCTTCCAAGCGCCATGATCAGCGTAATTGGGAGTACCATGATTCTCTACATTGCGTTGGAATCGAGAGCCCACAAGCAATGGACTCCTTATACTCGATTGTTAGTAGCCATGAGTCTTTGCGACATTCTGTACAGTATCAGCATCAGCATATCTTCCTTCTTGAGACCACAAGAGACGAGTAACTTTGTTTACGCTTTGGGAAACGATGCTTCTTGCAATGCTTCTGGATTTCTGAATCAACTCAGCATGTCCGCCATTTTCTTCAATTCGGCTTTATCCTTTTACTTCTTAGCGACGGCACGCTTTGGAGTATCTGCCAAACGATTCTCCAGAAGGATAGAACCAATCATGTATGTGATTTGCATTGGACATCCTTTTTTGACAGCAGCTGTGGGTTCCTACATGGGCTTGTTTGCCGAACGAAGGGGGATCATGGGCTGTTGGTTGGAGTTTGACAAGCGCTGCACCAGCAATGATCCCGAAATTCTAGCCACGGCTGAAAATTGCACCTATGTCTATACAGGAGTCATCTTTTATGTCCTTCCCGCTGGAGGCACTCTGATATCCTTGGTGGTGAACAATCTCATCATTTCTAGATTTGTATCCAGTAAGGTCAAGCCTTTTTCACGACGAGGACAAGGACGGCAAAGGCCCACATCGCCATTGGAACGACCTTCTTCTTCGTTCGATTCCACGACAGGCGCTACTACCGACTTGGATGCTACTACTACTCGGAGAAGTGATGTCACCTCTTTGAGCGTGACTCATGTGGCTAATCCATTTCGAACCGGAGTGCTACTACCCCAGGAGCCTTCTACCACTACTGATAGTGACCATCAGCAATTGGCGACACAAATGGCCCAGCACCGACGCCTCAAGCTTGTCAAATCGCAAGCCTTTTTGTTTGTGGCCAGTTACTTCATCTGTCACATTTGGAGTGTGGGCATGGCCTTGGGTGATTTCTTGGCACGCAGCGATCGAGCGGAACTGGAAATGATGGTCGACTACTATCCCATTGCGTTACTTCAAGCAGTCTTTCAACCACTCCAAGGCATGCTCAACATGTTGGTCTTTTGCCGTCCGAAATATTTGAAATGGCGGACAGAATATCCATGGGAAACCAAGTGGTGGGCCTTTCAACGATCCATCTTTGGAGAACGGATTCGGCCTACCAGGAGAGGACGACCGGCATCGAAGCCAGTGGAAGGAGAAGATGATGCAGAAGAAGGAGGGCGGCCAGAACATTTTTCATCTTCCATAGAGGAAGAATCAAAGCAAGCCAAGGGCGATGCGATATCGGATGGAGACGCGAGCCATACCTCTGCGACTTTATCGTCGGCGTCGTCTGCTAATTCGTTTTATCGAACAAGAGAAGGTATGTCTACACTCACGGCAAGTTTAGGAGACTTTGATCACGTCATTGACGATGGTGTCCAAGATGAACGATGGGCGGCTAGTGAACGATCCGATAGTGGTTTGACAGGAGCATGGGTACCCATTCGACGGTCGAGACAATCCACTTCGACTGGAGCAACAACAAGGGGATCCAGTTTGGAAGTGATTAGTGAGCATGCGGAATCCGTATTTGAAACTTTTCCTACTGCCACGAGCATTAATACTAGTGTGACAGCTGCTGCCAAGAATCAACAACAACAACAACAACAACAACAACAGCAAGAACAAGAACAAGAAGAAGAACAACAACAACAACAACAACAAGCAAGAAGTACACCGATCAGTCCAGAACAAAGGGTAGGGCGATGGAGCCCCTCCAGTTCTCCAACGGGAAGAAGACGAAAAGGTAGTGGTGTATTAGCGTCTCGGTTGTTGGAAGCGGGAATAGCTGGCGACAACACTTCAACAAGCTTGGGGACTTTGGATAGTCCCGCCAGCAGTCGATGGAGTACTGGTTCTGAATCATTGCCCAGCCATGTGGCTACTGCAGCAGCAACAACAACATCCATTCCATTGCCAAGACGAGTTGAAAGTCTAAATGACACAACGACCTCTTCGCCGACGGCGACATCAACAACATCATCATCGTCTTCGTCTCCCAAATCGTTGACCATTTCACCGCCCTTGTCCAATAGCAGTGGCGGCTCGGTATCAAGTGCCTCCACTGTGTCGTCTTTGGATACACCGCTATTACCACCCAGACGACGACTGAGTCCACCACCATTTGCCAACGATAGTGATAGTAGTAGCAGTGGCGATGATCATGGTAATGATAACGATGGGGATACTAGCGATGATGGTTCTTGTTCGACAGAGGATGGATCGTTGTGAATGACAACGACAAGGCAAGAACACAAAGCAACAATGTTAATAATTATAATAGTATGACCGCAATATATGGTATCCTGGTTGCTTCATAGTAGAGTATAAAGCTTTTACTTTTCGAGAAGAGAATCGTGTTATTTCCCTCGTGATAATGTTGCGATTTCTTAAAATTATACCCACATTCACACTTTCAACTTTGGAATGGAAGCTCCGTTTCTGGCGTTGAAACCGCGAACAAGAGTGAGTATAGAAGATGAGAGGGGGTTTGGCGATTCCCCTACAACGTTTTTCGCAATACGAAATGCCGCAATGCACGATCGATGATTCACAGAGTCATTTACCCCCCTTCGCAGGGTAAGAGAGATGTCCTGGTTAGAATGAGTACTTTCACGAACATCTATTGTGCGAAATGTTCTACCAGATGTGTGATTGCGATTTCAACTGTTGACATTCTTCCTTGGATGACCCATCACTCTACCATTTTCTCCCGTCATACGTTTTGTTCACAATTTCTTTAATAATAAAATCGTCTACATCAATCAATCAATCAATCAATTAACCATACAGGTAATCATGAAACTTCTATTCGCTGCTCCTCTTTTCCTTGCCAGCGCAAGTGCATCGAACTATCGAAGCGTCTCCCAGCATGATCGTGATCTCCAAGGAGGCGGCGGCGGCCAAGGTGGAGGCGGTGGAGGTGCAGGAGGAGGCGGTGGTGGAGGTGGTGGTGGTGATGGACCTGCTGGAGGAGGCGGGCAAGGTGTCACTTGCTCTACAACTGAGAATCTGAGTACAAGTGTCACTGGTCCAGCAGCTGCTCCGCTTCGAGGAAGTGTCGGGTGTGTCGACCAAGAAGCGTATGGTTTGAGAGACACGACCGCTATCCCAATCACACAAGGTCAAGATGCTTTCAATATTTATGGACCCATGGAAGCTGGATTCACCAGCACCAATCCCGGAATGTCTTGTCTGGGGGATACTACCGTGTCGGGTGGTTTGGATACCTTGTTGGCCGAACATATTGTCAAGAATTTCTGCTCGGACGATACTATTTCCGTATTAGATGCATGTGGTGGCCATGCCGTTCCATATCACTACCATGAACGCATGTCCTGCTTGTACGAGAGTGATTCAAATACCGGTCACTCGACAAGAGTCGGAACGGCAGCCGACGGAAACGGAATCTATGGAATGTACATTGATGGCGGAGTCCTACCAACAGATCTCGATGTATGTGGTGGTCGATCCGGAGTCACTCCTGACAGCAACGGTGAGACCGTTTACTACTATCCAATCAAGGCTTATGCGCCTTTCACACTTGGTTGCTATGGACCAGTATCCTCCGTAGACGAGTGTCGATCGTTGTACGGCTGCAATTCACAGGAGATTGAAACCATTACCACTGAGTTTGGAAGCGGCCAATACACTCTGGATTGCCCGTGTTTTGATGAAAATCGTTCGAATGTAGTCGATCAAGGATATCCAGGATACTTGGATCCCAGTCTCAAGCCTACAGAAACTAATAGTCCCAGTGGCAGTCCACCAACGACAACTGACTCTTCTGCATCCAAGAACAAATCGTTAATGGGAATGGCCATTCTCTCGATTGTGTATATAGTAATGTAAAAATATAAACATTCTCCACCCAAGACAAAGTATACAGTCAATACTTTAGCATTACCGTGATTGAAGTTCTGAAGATGAGGATCTTTAAGAAAAAAGCTATATCAGTTCGAAATACCTTCTCCTCTCAGGCATTTCAATATTGAAAAGCCTGCTGCGCCACCAAAACAAAATACTTTCAAGTCACACATCAAATCGCAACCACGATTGTTAATTCTGCCGATAGTTCACAGCGATTATTAATAATATAGTCATCTTGGTATATATTACGATCACTATACTGATTCATTGATTCATTGATTGACTGATTGATTGATTCAAGGCCTACACAAAATTGATAAATACCATGACAAGACTGCAATTGCTTGGTTGTTCATCATCTCCTCTTGCTGCTTGTCGGCACGATCATGACGACGACGATCGAAATCGAAATATCGTGTCGTCTCGCGACCTTCAAGGCGGTGGTGGTGGAGGAGGAAGACCAGGAGGTGTTCCTGGTGGTGGTGGAGGAGGAGGAGGTGACGGACCACCAAATGGGGGAGGATGAGGTGGCGGTCCACCTGATGGTGGTGAAGGTGGAGGTGGCGGACCATTGCACCCAATGGGGGAGGAGGAGGAGGCGGGCAAGGTGTCACTTGCTCAACGACTGAGAATCTGAGTACAAGTGTCACTGGTCCAGCGGCTGCTCCACTTCGTGGAAGTGTCGGGTGTGTCGACCAAGAAGCATACGGTTTGAGAGACACGACCGCTATCCCAATCACACAAGGTCAAGATGCCTTTAGTATTTAATGGATTCATGGAAGCTGGATTCACCAGCACCAATCCCGGAATGTCTTGTCTGGGGGATACTACCTTGTCGGGTGGTTTGGATACCTTGTTGGCCGAACATATTGTCAAGAATTTCTGCTCGGACGATACTATTTCCGTATTAGATGCATGTGGTGGCCATGCCGTTCCATATCACTACCATGAACGCATGTCCTGCTTGTACGAGAGTGATTCAGATACAGGTCATTCCACACCAATCCCCATCCAAAGAGACAACAACAATGCCTAGTAATAGTAGGCAACCAGTGGAAATTCCCTTTACCACGCCAGCACTACTAGTAGAAGAAACCACCACCACCACCACCACCACCACCACTACGACTACCACTACGACCAATAGTACTAGCCCAGCAGTAGTATCATGATTGGTCAATCCAACAGGAGTAGGACCACCAGCAGCAACACCACCTACCATTATTCCGAGCAGTAGCACACAGCAGCCAGTTGGAAATGGTGAAAATCAGCAGGATGATAAGGATGATTCTTTCTGCTATGGAGCTTCTTCCATGATTGTTTCCGTGCCCAAGATGATGACAATGACGTTGCTGCCATTGTGGTGGTGGTGTATTATACTACCAGTAGGATCTGGTAAAATATGTGTATAAAAAATGCAAAAGAAGAACGATAATAGTATATATCCTATTCATTGTAATGGACATTCTTCTTATTATTCAGATCAGCTATACGCATTCATTCTACCGGTATGCGTTGAGTCGAGGGATTGATCATGGTAACGAAATTGTACAGTATAACACAATACGAAACGAAAATATAGTAGAATATGGATTGGGTTTTTTGTTGTGTTTTGTTTTGCGACGATTGAAATCAAAAGTCTATGTATATATTATAGATTCAATCTCTAGAATACATGGATAGGAGGCTGCTCCAGACTTGTGTGTGTGTGTGTGTGTGTGTGTTTGTAGCAATTAGCACAAATCGAGCAAGGGGAAAGGTTTCAGAAAAGAGGCATGGCTGAGCGAGCGAGGAATATGATAAATATATGGCACATATGCATATAGCATATAAGTATACATATACACATACCACTCGTCATCCATCCGTCACATCAATATAATAAATATATTTAATGTCCTGGAAGGTAACCTCCTGGAAGGATGGAGTTTCCCATAACTTCGTGGGTAACAAGTCCCCAGATTCCCATCATGGCGGCACGACCTTGGTTCAATTCAATGGTACGCTTTCGCAACTTGGTGGCTTCGTCCAACTTGTCCCATCCAAAGTCAAGGGCACCGTTGCGGTAGTCACCGACGAATTCGGCCTTGTTGTCGAGCCAATCGGCGTCACGGTTGACAATCTCGGCCACGGCAAAGAAGGCCAACATTTGCATGAGGACGTTTTGGCCATCGCGAGTGTCCAAAAGTGCTTGCCAAGAGGCAAGACCATCGGGGATATTCTCGGCACCGGGGAAACGGATTCCGGCGGCAGTGGTCAAGTAACCGACGACGGCAAGCATGGAAACACGCCCGTGCTTGAGTTCACGCTCGCGAAGGGCGTCAAACTTTTCTTGGTTTCCGTCTTGAATGAGCTTCAAAGGATCCCACAATCCCAACTGTGTTATAAAGTATGATTGTATTGTGAGTGATTGTGTATTGATTGTAATATGTGAGTGAGTGAGTGAGTGAGTGAAATATGCAATACTCAATGGATGAATGAATGAATGATAACATCATCATCAAAGCAAACTTCACAAACCGCACCATAACTTCCAACGAACTTCAACTTTTTTAAAAAGAACTTACAGGAGCAGTGACACCAACTTCCTTCTCGAAAGCGGCGACCGAAGTGGAAGCACGGCCTTGTTGGGCAGTGGGAGCAAAGGCAGCAGCAGATCCGGCAAGGGCGAGGAGAGAGATGACCTTCATATTGTACTTGTTATTGTTATTGTTATTATTATGATTAATATCCTGAAAAATAAAAATTATAAACTCACTCTCAACTTGAAGGAGAAAGGAAATCAAATTACCAACCACAACTGCAACAGATGTCAGATTCGTGAATTCGGTCCGTCCACGCGTCCGGACGTGCGACACTGCATACGCAAATTCCTACCACGTTACCCAGCGTATCTTTGCAGTTCAATGACAAAAAAGATAACCATTTTCAATATTCAATATTGAATATTTTTTATATATCGCATGCTCCGATCAGAAACTATTGTCCGATCAGTAATCGGGCAATCGAACGTGAATCGGATAGTCGAACATGATTAGCAATGATCGATAATGCGTGTCCGAGCAGAATATACTGTATGCTTTATATATTAGATTCGTTCTTGATCATTTATTGGCGTAATATCGAATCATCTTCTACACGCAGCAGTGTTAGTATAATACTGTAGTTTCATATCTATCATAATACAGCATAGTCTTTCTGGAAACCTGAAACAAAATGAGTAACAACAGCAACAGCAACAGCAGCAGTAATGATGAGAATAGCAAAGATAGGGTCATCAATACTACAAAAGTGATCCATACAAAACGAGTTGTGGTGATTCGCAAACAGCAAACAATCAGATCGTCGACATCCACAACAACAGCGAAAAGAACAACAAGAAGTAACATTCAACAAAAGAATAGTATTGCTTCCGACAATGGCAGAGAATCCATTGCAAATTGGCCATTCGCGATGAGATTCTTCTGTTTCGAGGCATCATTCATCATATGCTTGGGGATTGCTTTGGCATGTCATCAAGCCATCTGGTATCACAAGGTCGTGCTTCATCCCTACTACTTGCAAACTTTCAAATGGACTCGCACCAATAGGCCATCCATAGAAGAAACCTACTATCGATTTGAGTGTACTGCCGAGGACATTACGGCGGAAACGGTTCAGGACTTGTTTGTTGCCACCACCAAGAATAAGAACAGGACTTCTACTCATGATGAAAGTGATGATGAAAATGATAGTACTGACGACGTATCATCCAATGACCATCATAATCACCACCACCACCACCACCATCATCGTCTTAAATTCAGTCCCATGGAAGCCGTAGACAAGGCCATGACTCATGGAGCAGTGGTACTACCTCAATTATTATCCTCACAAACAGCCTCCAACTTACGAACACACGTGGGAAAACGACTGCGAAACTTGGATCCAAACAGTAGGGAAAGTATCAAAGTCATCATGGGAAATAATCGATGGAGTTTTGCCTTGCGAGCGACGGAACATATCAGTGTAGTCAAGGCCTTGAGCGAACTAGGAAATCATCCGTATTTGCAATCGACGATAGAAGGGTTGGTGGGGAAACCTGCCGCCCTGATGGAATTCCAAGTCATCGTCTCGATCGAAGGAGCTCCGTCGCAATTTTGGCATGCCGATTCGGAACCGGAAGGATCTTCGGGCCGATTTGGAAATTCCTTTGTGCCCTTATATACCTTGCTGATACCGCTACAGGATACGACGGCAGCCATGGGAGCCACGGCGGTATGTCCAGGATCTCATCGGTGTCATTACACCAATGCCTGTCTTGGGTTGGGGGAGAATACCATGGCAAATTCCACCAACTGGACCAAGGCATCGGGGATGGGGGTCCAAGTGACGGATCCGAAAACTGGAATGATAAAGGCTGGGACTGGACTGCTCTACAATAGTCAAACCCAGCACCATGGCTCGGGACACAGTCATGGACAAGCACGAGCAGCATTGTTGTTGTCCTTTTCGAGTGCACCACGATTTCAAAATGATAAAGGCGCCATAACACTATTCGGACAAGAACGGCCCGAGCGATTGCCTGCCATTGGGACTGTCTATGCGATTCATTCCAATCATTTGGGATTTCTATTTGACGATTTGAAAAACCCTTTGAGATGTATGCATTCTCCATGGAAACGAAGTCTTGGGTGGCTCGACCAAACTCAGGGACGTGGTTGGAGCATGCCACTCTTGGATTTATTTCGCACCATCAATGAACAATTCGGATTTCGATTGGAAGATTTGACCAAGGAATCGATGGATGGTAGCTTGTATCATCAGGTAGCGACCGTCTTTGGAATATATTTGGACCAGAACGACAATCAGAATGATGGACCACATTCCAAATTGGCGCCAATGGAGACTTTGATGGTGCGGCTAATGGAGCGAATTCGCGCGATTGGTTTGACAGTAGCAATTGCGATCTTGTTGGCGTATTTATTATCATGGGGAATGTCATTGGCCATGCCATCCGGCATCTTGCAATTCACATTGCTCCGATTGTTGATCATTGTTAGTTTGTTCAGCTGGTACAACATGAGCATCGGAGCTGAGACGAATCGATTGGCACAAAAAGCAAAGGCCTTGGCAACAATAACGGAAGCAACACAAGATACGGCCGACAAAGCAACACGACAACATGTGGATCCCCGGTCCTTGGTAATGCCCCGATACCAGGACATTCTGTTCCCAAATGTCGACACGAGGGATAGGTCCGTTGGGTCGCAGTCTTTGGCCATTGACTATTATCATCCAGGAAACAAGCGATGGCATGATGTAACAAAGGCACAAACTTTGTGGTTTTTTACCTATTCGGGTCTTCCTCCAGTATTTCAAGAGGCAGTTCTGGTCAATATTGTGGATTTGTCAATGACCCAACACGGATTTCGGTTCTTGAAACGCAATCCAAACACAAGTGATTGGTCAGTGATGGAAATGGGGTCTATCCTTCAAGAGACTCGGCACCTGATGCAGCGCCAAGTCATTGATCACTTGTCTCATCTCGGTTGGATTGAACCGCGCAACCCTTGCGATCGCTTCAACAACAAAGACACACCGATATGTCGATTGTTGAAGTTCGAGAATGTATTCTATCGAGAGACAATACGAACAATCCCAGTTGTTACCGAACGACCTAGTTACTCTCTGGTCAGAGAGATCAACAAGAAGATTACAGCAAGAGCAATTCGCCCAAAACAAAAGGGAGAATATATGACACGAGCAACAGATGAGGAGGCAATCCATACTTCGGACTATTATGATAATGGTACTGCTGTCGAATTCCTCTCTCCATCCGGTAGATCGCGAAAGTGGATCAATGGTATCGTCATTTCAAGACTACCGAATGGTCCATCAAAGACTGATGGTGGCAACTATTACACTTTGGAGTGTTTGGATGTCGAGAAAACGAAAGAGCATGGAATCCCGTACAAAGCAATCCGTCTTCCCAAACACCTGGCCCCTCTCAGCCTCTTTCTGCCAAAACTGCTATTTCGTTGAAGCCATAGAATAAACCAACGACAATCGCCGAATCAACGGATGTGATTTGAAAAGAGACAATCACGCCGTGAACGGAAAAAGCAGAAACATTATTGTTCAGTCACAGCAATCCAACCTATATGACAATCACTGCAAAAAGACGGATCTATTTGGATCAAAGAAAAGTAGAAGAATCATGGAGTTCCTGCTGTACTGCTCCAAACCGGCCTGAGATTATGGCTGCAGCCTGTATTTGTAGTGCACTGAGCGTTTAGCTCAACTCTTGTGCAAAGCCGGGCACCAACACTGGCACATGCTTCAAATGCGTCATACCAAGTCGTACCGGTGTAGCAAAGACCACCAATGGTACTTGCGGCGTAGGGACAACTAGCAGATACTTTCGCAAATCCTGTTAATGCCGTATCAGCACAGCAACGTACTGCAGTGAATGTCCCAGAATCATCTGTAAGCCTGTTGGAGTTGAGCAGCGCATCTCCAGCACAACCACCAGTCTCACCACAAGCAACCCAGTGCCATGAGGTAATAGTTGGAGAGATAGAAGGTGTCGTGGAAGGCTCAACGCTTGGTGATGCTGATGGCGATCTTGACGGCGAACTTGATGGTAGACCACTGGGGCTGAGCGACGGGCTCACACTAGGAACCATACTTGGTGCCATGGAAGGAATAGAACTTGGATTCATGGATGGCGAAGTACTTGGCACATAGCTTGGAGTCATTGAAGGAAAAGCACTCGGATTTACAGACGGGGCATCACTAGGTCTGTAGCTTGGCACAGCAGATGGTGAAATGCTGGGACTGAAGGTCGGTCCGATTGATTGGGTGATCGATGGCCCGGCGCTTGGTGCCTCAGATGGTGGGAATGACGGAACCATACTTGGTGGCTCGGTTGGAACGACGCTCGGAACATTGGAAGGTTGGGCCGAGGGCACATCGCTGGGTGTCTCTGAAGGCACCTCACTTGGAATATTTGTTGGAGCCATTGATGGTTTCGAGGAAGGCTCCCGTGTAGGCTGCCCTGAGAAAGTAATAGTAGGTACCGTACTAGGGCTGATGGTTGGCGATCTGGTGGGTGCAAATGTTGGGAACTGTGTGGTTGGAACAGGTTCCACAAATGGGTCTTGCAGTATCGTATTGACATCGATAACAACAATGTCCGTTTGTTGCTCGCCATTCTCTTCGTTGATATATGTGAATCGGAAGGCGCCCCTATCTCCCCCCAACCCTTGCGGCTGGTAGGCAATTTCCGTCACGAGATAGGCCTCCAACAAGTTGGGGTCTCCTCCTGTTCCTGTTGCGTTGCCACCTGACCCCGAACCTGATTCGGAGACACCGTCGTTTTCAGGAAGGACAGGAGTGACAAAGGCTCTGGTCATTTGAATAAAACCATCCGGAAGTTCGCCAATTTCGCTCAAATCTTCAGTTTTGAAAATAACAAGCTGCAGTAATCGTTGGAAGAATTCACGACTTGTGAAGTCGAACAACGCTGACGAAATCAGGTCCGTCCCGTCGATTGGTTCAATTCCATCTTGTTCCAAGCGGCGATATTGAAACAATCTTCTCTCCTCTTCCTTCTCTGTCGAAAAGAGTGGCTGGAGCGCCAGGCAATTGTCACATAGAAGGGTTGTCTCGAAAACAGCTTCAAGTAATGGGTTGTATCCTTCTGCAATCGAATCCCAGGTTTGGTTGACAAGTTTGGCTTCCGTCATCTCTCTCGATAGTGGGTCAAGGCATCCTACCGACTCCAGGTTTGCGCCGATGGTCAAATTGTTGTAAGCTTCTACGACAAGATTCTCCACAATCAACTTTTCCCGATTATCAAACGGCCGAGAAAATCCTTCGAATACCATGGTGAACTGTCCCTTTCGAACATCTGGATCGAAAAGCCCGCAAATTGAAGTGGCTGGTGGAACAAAAATAGCAGTTGTATTTCCAAGATTGGTGGCGACCAGCCCAGCGGTGACTGCAGTCGCGGCAACGGCTATCAATCAGTAAAGAAGTTCACGGTGAGTGGTGAGTGATTGGTTGGCATTAAATAGTGGCACGCATCATGACAGCATCCTTGTCGTACCTGAGGAGACCACTACAGCTGTTGCTACTTGGCTAGCCACAGCAGCTGTGGCGGCCCCAGCAGCGGCGGCAGCAGATGCACTCGCCGCGGCTCCTAGAGATATAGATAGAGCAATGCAATTAGCAGACAATCAAATGAGATCAAATCTTGCGCTACGCGAAACAATTGCTGCAACAAGGATTTGTTCTTACCTGCTGCAGCACCGGTTGCAACCCCCGAGCTCGCTGCTGAACCAGCCGCACTTGCTGCCTATGTACATGAACAATAGTATACTTTGTGAGAATCATCATGATTCCATCGAATGATCCAATCGTTGAAGCGTCATCACATTCTTACCTGACCCGCAACCGCTTCCAACCCAGGAGGAGGTGCAACTCCTCCGCCTCCTCCTCCGCCTCCTTGACCGCTTGGTGGTGGAGCCGTACCTTCGAGCGGCACTGGAGCCTCGACATCCGAACCTCCACACAAACTTCCAAAAAATGACATGCAATGACCCGCCATCAGAATGAGGGCGGTAATCGATAAGAAAAGTAAGGTCATCAGCTTGCCAGGCTCTTCCGCTTCTTCCTTGTTCTCCAAATTCTCTTTCATGTTATCATCGGTGTCTTCAGCTGTATCGGTATCATCGATATCCTTGTCTTCTTGAAGTTTTTTGTTTCGAAAGTTTCTTTGGATTCGAATAGCTGCGTTTTCTGCCAGTGTGTACAAGAGAAAGGCTTCATCTACTCGATGAACTTCTTCCTTCACAGGAGGAGCTTCCACGTAGTCGCTTCTGTGACTCGCGGCCAAATCGTCATACGGCGGCGGCGGTATTGGAAAAGAAGATTGGCTGCCAGCTTCCGAATTAGTACCAGCTCTGGGTGTTTTGGGTGATTTGTAATAGCCCGCGTCGTCTCGTGTGGGAGAAATAAGGCTTGGTAGACGTATAGAAGAAAGATTTGGATGATCATAATTAGGAGCAAAGTGTTCACGCCTTGGAGATAAAACCTGCTGCGGACGAAGAGAGTGATGATTATAGTTGAGTTTCTGTTGCTTTGAAGCTTGGTGAAGGACACTATTGGAGGATCCTTCATGACCATCAGTCGCTGGAAGATTTTGCCTTACATTAGACTGTTGTCGTTTCGAAGAAGACCGACTCCTTGTTGATTCCGAATCACTGGGAACTGGTTTCGGGGATCGGGAAGAAGGCGGTTTGGGAGAGCGATATTGCTTTCGTTTTGATGATCCAGCGCTCCGGGGTGACGATATCGTACTCTTGACATTCCTTTGAGATCTTGATTTCCGGTCTCCCTCTTTCTTTGGAGATCGCACTCGCTTTGGCGAGCGTTCACGCTTTGGAGAATGCTCTCGCTTTGGAGGAGATGTCGATGATTTCTTTCTTGAAGATTTTGACTTATCCATTTTTTCTTGCTTTTTTCGATTGGTTCTTGTGATGTATCTGATATTGCTGATGAGCAATGAGCAATGAGCAATGAGCAACGATCATCAAACAGTACAACAAGAGTGAAAGGAAAGATCTGAACTATCGTGTGCCAATACCGCGGTCAGATCTGCCAGGCGGATAGCGGATTCTGTATTCGTATTTTTTTTGATTGCCGCTTGGGGAAGTTGTTTTCGCTCTAATTCGATCGAGCGAAAGGGAACTCACTTCTACATATTGACTTGAACATGACTTTCTGTGTGCTATATGTATTTCTCATGGAAACAGCAGGCCCGTTCGATGTTCGTTGGAGGTGAAAGAAACCATTGGCGTGACCGTCATCATGATTACAATATATAGAAAAGATGCATTTGTTTGAATACCGTAGTTGAAAAGCTCGTCTAATCACTTGGTCGAAGGTGCAGTTGAGCTTCCAGTATCGGTGGTATTGTACGGTACCGATGCGTTTGCAGTTGTGTAAAATACAGTAATTTTACTAGTGAAATACCACTGTCAATATTAATACTCACCACAGACTTTTTGTAGGATGCCATCAACAATCTCAACATTTGGTGGTCGGTGGTCGACGATTGTTTCGAAAGTGTTTGGATATCTTGTTGCGTGCAAATTCATCAGGGACCTCTTCCCACTTGCTGCTATCCCCATCCGTTTGTTTTAGGAATCGTCCTCCCTGTTTCTGAATCTCCTGAACCACGGAATCGGCCAATTGCGTCTTTCGTGCCTTGCTGGCCTTGTCATATTCAGTCGACAGCTCTCCAACCAATTGACGAACTCGTTTATTCCCCTCATTGTTTCGTTTTCTACCAAACAAAACATCATTCTCTGATGGTTGGTCTGGCGATCTATTTGCTGCTTGCTTCGATCCAAAGAATTGACTCGATATACCGGCACCTTCTCCATTCGACGCCACCGGACCATTGGTCACTCTCGGTCGACGATTGTTTCGAAATGCTTGAGCAACTTTGCTACAGGCATCCTCTGCTGACAACTCTACCCAATGCTCGGGTTCGCCAACCCCAAGGTTCAGAAATCGCCCACCACTAATTCGTATTTGTTGCATGACTTGTTCTACCAAATCTCGCTTTTGCTCCTTGGTACCCGAATCATATTGGTTGGCATGGTTTCGTACCAATATTCGTAATTGACGATTTCCGCCATTGCTATTCCTTCTTCCCCCAAACAAGACATCTGCTGGGTATGGTTCAATTGGTAAGCCTGGTAGATTCTCGCAGCCATCCGATGCTGCCATTGCTTCCCGCCATTCGCATTCCTTGTACCATCGCATGTGATAGTCATGCGCCACAAAGGCAGCATCGGATCGTGGAGGTAAGGCTTCCGGAGGGATGCCAAAGGCTTTCAGGCCGTATTGGCATTCGATGTCACTTCCCATGTGGAGTCTGAATCGGGCCCTTAGATGTGATGGCACTATTCTGAGACAGGCACTGACTAATAAATATTGCAGAGGGTCATCCGAACAGAGATGGAGTCCCGCAAAATGGATGGGCAACGCCATGGATAGCTTGGTCTGATTTACGAACCCTTTCCCCCTACTCGTATCCCTGAAACGACCAAGTGTGTAGGATACCACCACCACACCTTTGAGCTGTGCCCGTTCGTCACGATGCAAAACATTCATGAAAAAGTAAAAGCGTGCCTTCAGGTCGCTTTCAAGTTTGCTGACATCTAATAACCCAGGCAAACCTAATAAAATCGTTCTTCCAGCACTATCGTAGCAAGGAAGCTGCCGTAAGCTCCCCGTTTGTAAGATGGTCTTGTCATCCTCATCCAAATCTTGCAAGGTAATTTCTTTTGTGAGTTTCTCTGCTCCAAACAATCGTTTCTTCATTTCGAAATAGGATAATATCTGCTGAGCCGACTCCTTAGGTTTGTACCGATTCCCTCTTAAGAACATGAGTTGAAACTTGTAATCATGGACATAGTCCCAGTCCATCGTCTCGGCTGTTTGATACGCACTTCCTTTGGTAGAGAGTTCCTTAAGGTAGGTTTGCATGTCCTGAATCCATGCTGATATTTGCTCTGAATCTTCAGGTTTAGTGTTCACTACACCGTGCAATTCCTCTTGATACTTTTGTCGGTCTCCAAAGCTAAGCTCCGCCATGGAAGAAGCAAGAAAGGAATCTATTTCTTCTTTGCTTTCGGTCATGTTTGTGTTTGTGTTATCAGTTTCAGGATGACTATGAGCATTTAGCGTCCGCTGAAATTGAAATCGTGGCGCTGACACTCGTTCATCGCGGTTGGAAAACCCAGCGACCCAACTTCCACTGAAGCATGACGTATTCCCTCCTGTGTCATCGTCAGTATCCATTGGTGTAGCATTATGTATTTTACTGTCAGGCATCATTGGGTGTGTATATGCTTTGGGGATTGTGAAGCATATATAGTAATACAGTTGCATACAAGTTCGAAAAAATAATTGAATACGACCTGCTTGCTGGAACACTGCGCGGTACCGGTATTGAAGAAATGCAACGTAGCTTGTAAATAGGCCCCAACCGCGTATTATATTGTGTTATATATTTGGGAGCAAGAGATACTGGCGGAAGCCACGATCGCGTGTCGGTTCGCACATTTATTTACATAGGAAAAATCTCAACCCTTTCCAAAATTCTGTAGCTTGCGAGGAGGTAGTGATCACCGTTAAATAAAGTGCGAACAGTAAAAAAATGATATAACAGGGGGAAGTTCGACATAATATGGAAACTGCTCAGGATCGCAAATTAATGCTCGAACGAGTCAAATGATTCTGACGTATGCGCGGCGCGGGTCAATTTTTTGTCTTGATGGATGCGCAATGCCATCAACACACTGCGAACGTGTGCTGTAGATTCAAATTCAATTACTCAAATTACTCAATCAAGCAATCATTCAGCTCTCAGAAGATGACAAAAGTATCAGTAGTTTTGGTTGGATGCGGATGCCCACTACGCAGTATGGGATGGTATCATGCCATGCAACTCTTGGATGCTGGCCGTATCCAGAACGCTTCTCTCACATACGTGGTCGAACCATGGTACTTTGCACCCGCTGCTGAGGGGACTCCTGGACACTCGGACTTTCATGAATGGGCCAAGAAAACAAAAGAATCCCATGGTGTCGAGTTCTTTCATACTGTCGAGGAAGTGCCTACTGCACCAGCAGCAGATGATGGAAGTGTCCGATTGGCAATCATTAGCGCCCGAACAGCCGACAATCCAAAATTGTTGGACCAATGCCTAAAGCTCGGGTGCAAAGCAATCTACTTGGAGAAACCTGGAGCTCCTACTGTATCCGAATTGGAGGCAATGAAGTCCAGGGCGGACGAGGCTGGAGTCAAGGTATTCATGGGATTCAACAAGAATGTCAGTTCCTATCTGACCTTCTCCCGAGAATTGGTAAACAAGACGGCGGAAAAGTGCGACGTTACCTTTCTGCACAATAACAATTATGCCAACACTGAGGCTGAACTTGCCGAGTGCTTTGAGCGCAATGCCGAAGGAATGCTCAAGAATATGGCCATTCACGAGCTGGCAATCCTTGTCACCTATTATGGTGTCACGGTGGATACCATCGACAAAGTAGAAGCCGACAAGGAATTCTCAAGTTGCAAAACGCTAAAGGGCCCAGCATCTGGAAAGGACTTTACAGACTTTGATAAACTCAAATTCAAGATTGTCACAAAGAGTGGCGTTGAAGTGAATGTGGCCGCCGATCGTTGTGGTGGTGACGACAGTGTTGGAATTGTCAACAAGGCTGATTCAGGAGAAGAGTTGGCACGATTTACAATGCCCGATGAGGCCACGGTGGCTAACACGGATGCGTTAAAGGCCAAGTACGGAGACGCCATGCCTTACTTTTTTGCACAGGATCCTGATTACTTGAAGTTGAAACAGCTAGTGGTCCAAAACTGCATCGATGGGACGCCGGCAGAAGGAGTTGCCGACATTGAAACGGCTGTGGAAACTCTCAAGGTAGCAGAATACTTGACGCCCATACTGACCAAACAGCTACAATAAGAAGAAGACGAGGTGTATGCTTAATATCTTGATAGCGTTCCTAATTATTTCATTATCTAATATACTGATCTGACCTGAAATATCTTTTGATGATCACTATTGACTATCAGTATTAGGTCCACCATTCGGATTTTCCATTCATCCTCTTGTAAACCAGCTATCCAAAAAATGGATAACCCAAAGAGTTCGGATTCGAGGAGCGACGAATTGCGGCACCTAACAGCATTTCTCGTTGCATGGTCATTCTTGTTGCCATCATTTGGTCGGACCGTAGTGCCAGCAAATCTTGCACCAACCAGGCGTTGGAGTGATGATGGGAGCCATGAGGCGACAAGAGACTGGCTGGAAGACCAGCATGATTTCGACCTCCGGGAATACTTCGAGAAAGAAGATCATGTTGGCCTGTACTAGCCGAGCCAATGCCCATTGATAGATGAGGGGCAAATTTGTAGGGATACCCGGCCATAGAGGAAGTGGCACAAGGAGCAACAGCTACAGGCAGTGAGGAGCTGCAAGTAGGGGGTGTGGGCTTGGTATTTGTAAGCGTAGGAAGACTGTCTGCGGAAAGGACTGGATTCTTCCTTTGCTTCTTGGTGACAGATTCGAGTTCACTACCAAGCGACTTTCGTTTCGTTATTGGGCTCGAAGTTTTGGTGGGGACTGATACCTTATCGCTTTTCGGGCTGTCTGGACGCGCAGACTTATTGGGTTCACTATGACTAATAATCGTTTCTGGGCCAAGAGTATTCTTGGTGGCCCATGCGAGTGCCTCGGGAAGACTTTGACATTTCTTTCGGCGGTTCGGTGCATACCAGACTCGTTGCATGGATTTAGTATCCCTTCGAAATAAATAAAATAAAATAGACGATGGTAAGAAGCAGCATCTCTTGAGGGAATCAATCATGACGCGCAAGATGCCACATGTGACATACCATTCCACGGTCCAACCGTCACCCAAACCTTGACACTTGGCGAGTTCCAATGCCTTGCGCTTCTCTTCCTCCGTCAATTGTGACTTTCGTCCCTTCTTCTGAACAGAGCTTTGGCATGTTTCACCATGAAAGAGACCATTCTTGAGTGACCAAGTGAGTACCTCGTTGATCGATAGACACTTTTTGTCCTTTTTGGGCGACACAAAAACATTTCGCTTCGCAGCGTTGTCCCATTCAGTTGTCCAGCCAGGCGGGAGATCCGCTGCAGAACCCTTTTCACACTTCACTAACTGTTTTCGAGTTTTAGTCTCCTTGGCCTCGCCAGTTGTGTTTTGCTGTCTCAACGCTTCGGCGATGCTACAGCACCTCCTACCACTCACAGGATCGACGAAAACGCGAATGCCTTTTCGATAGTTCCATTCCACCTTCCATTCATCGGAAAGACCTCTGTTTTTTGCTTCTCTTCTTGCGGAAGCAACTTCTTCCTCAGACATTGCGCTTTGGGCGGAAGGTAGTTGATCCAAGCGGATCAAGCCTTTCCCCAGAGACCATGCGACTGCCTTGCCAACAGTGTAACACCGTCTGGAACCGCAAGGGCTGATCCAAGCTTTGCAGCCTCTTCTGTTATCATACTCCAGTCTCCACCCCTCAGGGAGGCCTTTTCGTTTGGCCTCTGCATGAGCAGCGTCTTTTTCCTCCTGTGTCAACTTGCGATGGAGTTTCTGCGCCAGCTCAGAAGAGATAGACGATGGTTCGGCAATACCAACCTTGATCTGCCAGGCGACAGCTTGAGGCAAGGACCAGCAAGTCTTTACTCCTCCAGGAGCAATCCATACCTTGGACTTTCTTCTATTGTCCCACTCCACGTGCCATCCATCACAAAGGCCTTCAGCTTTAGCTTGTCTCAAAGCTGCATGCTTTTGTTCAAGGGTAAGTTTCCGATTAGTCATTGTCAATTTGTTTTGATTTGAGTCCACAGATTTTCTTTGAGCTCTTGTTTTCCTTCCTCTCAAAAAATGATGCTGGAACTCATGCAGGATTTTCTCTCGCGGCATCAGCCTAATTTAGCATAGCGTTAAATGAAGTATAAGGTGCGTCTTTTTCTCTAATCGCCGGAACTTAACAAGGTATGAAAGAACGTTTTTAAAATATCCCGTAAACTGGATTAGAGAACAAAATTCCGACCCTCGTGAAAATCTTTTGAGCCGTACCAGCATCAGCGAAAAATTTGCTTAATTAGGTCACGTTCAGCTTGTTTCTATGGGAGTCGGCCACTCCAAAGGAGCGGTAACGTTGAGTACCAGAGTCATATTCAAACTACTAATGGAAGTCGGCCATCTGTTACGTTGAGTACCAAAGTCACATCCAGCCTACGCAATAAACGAAACGTAATGATAATGTCTGCACAGATGCTCATGTCGAATCAGCGACAAAATGATAAAAAAAATAGTGACTAGACATTCTCACGTCACACGTGACAATCAGAACCTGCATCTTGGTGATATTATCTGCTTCTATATATTGTGCCTCCTACCTATGGTATATATTCTCAACGACTGACTGACTCACTCGCCCTGCCAAAGGCCAAATTAGCACTTCACACTTCAGATGAAGAATCAGAAGTTTACTGGCGCTATGATAGTAGAGATAGAAGAATCAGATATTATTGAGTGCAGGATGGGCGGGTTGCTGGCGCCAGCATGCGATTCGACCTTTACCAGTATGCAATGGTTCCTGCGTGAGCTAAATAACCATTTGCAACGATAGGCTGAAATTAGAAATGGTACAATAGTAGAAGCGTACGGTACCGGATGATTCTTGATAAATGACGAGCGAGCGGGACCCTGAAGACATCGTTGCTTTACTGGTGGTGATGACAGCCGACTTTGCTACTTCTAGTAGAAGAGAACTAGAGAAGTAAGAAAGGCTTTGCCAAACTAGTAACTTTACGAGGTAAATAGTTTCACCAAACCAGTAGTATGTATCTATGATGATTTTCCAAAGTCGTGTTGATATTTTATACGGTATGTTTCGGTTAAAATCTTCTTTTGTGACTGTATTTTTTTAAAGCCTCATCGATGCCTGTCCGTCGATCGAATGACGTGTTTTCCAAGATTTTCGGACTCCCAAAATTCTACTGCGATGACACACGACATCAATGCCACATATACTCAACACAGTCAACACAGTCAACACAGTCAACAGCTCTTAAAACAGTCACATTAGAAGGAAACTCATAAATCGCAATGATGAATACGATGCAGACAATGAAGGTTTTCTGTCTATCACTTTTGATACTGTCTACAGTTTCAGAATTGGCTTTTGCCTTTTCCAGTTCTTCGAGCATGTCATCTTCGGCTCCATCTAAACAATCAAGAATGAAGTTGGATCGGTATCCAACGCCAAGACGCATCAAGCAAACTCCAAACTGGAGGGAAGCAAAGGAACTGTCAAACAAATTTCTGGAAGAAAAGTCTACGAATCAGAGCAAAAAGAAGGTTGCAATCATTGGAGGAGGACTCTCTGGTCTCGCTTGTGCTAAATATCTCAGCGATGCAGGACACGAACCAGTCGTTTACGAAGCCCGCAACGTATTGGGAGGAAAGGTATCGGCTTGGCAGGACAAGGATGGCGATTGGATCGAAACTGGTCTCCACATATTCTTTGGGGCATACCCAAACATGATGAACTTATTCGAAGAATTGGACATTGAAGACCGACTCCAATGGAAGAAACACCAAATGACATTTGCCATGCAAGAGCTTCCTGGACAGTTCACCTCGTTCCAGTTCCCAGCTAATGTTCCAGCTCCATTCAATATGGCTATGGCTATCTTGAGCAATACAGAAATGCTAACTTTGGAAGAAAAAGTAAAAATGGTACCAGGCTTACTGCCGATGCTATTGGAAGGACAATCATTTATTGACGATCAAGATGAGCTTTCGGTTCTCGAGTTTATGAGAAAGTATGGCATGCCCGAGCGTATCAATGAAGAGATATTTATTGCCATGGGCAAGGCATTGGATTTTACAGATCCAGACAGTAAGTGAACCGCGATATGATCGTCAGAAAAATCTGCCAGTCAACGAGTTATAGCGAGTTGCTCCCCCCACTTCCTCGTCGCCTTCTTCTCACAAATTTAAATTTAGAACTATCCATGTCAGTAATCTTGACGGCAATGAACCGATTCATCAACGAAGCTGATGGCTCTCAAACCGCCTTCATTGACGGGAACCAACCGGATCGCCTCTGCAAACCAATGGTGGATCATATCGAGTTCAGAGGCGGAAAAGTTCACACAGGAAAGCCTATAGCCGAAATCAAAGTAAATTCAGAAACATTATCAGTCGAAGGGCTTGAGCTCACTGATGGGTCGTTGGTCGAAGCCGATTACTACATTTCTGCGATGCCTGTCGATGTTATCAAAAAGATGATCCCCAAGCAGTGGTCTACCATGCCGTACTTCGCTCAACTGAAAGAATTGGAAGGCATTCCAGTGATCAATTTGCAAATATGGTTCGATCGAAAATTGACAAGTGTGGATGGTCTCTGCTTTTCTCGAAGCCCTCTGTTGAGTGTTTATGCTGACATGTCCACATGTTGCGAAGAGTATGCTTCGGATGACGCGTCCATGTTGGAATTGGTCTTTGCTCCATGTACACCACAAGTAGGTGCCGATCGCAACTGGATTGCAGCGTCGGATGAGGAAATCATTGAAGCTACCCTGTTGGAACTCGAGCGACTCTTTCCGACCGAGATTGGCGCTGCCGCAGGAGACCGAGCTGCTGAAGTTACCAAGTCGACTGTAGTTCGTGTTCCTCGTAGTGTGTATGCAACCACACCTGGACGTAACAAGTTCCGACCATCTCAGGATAGTCCTATTGACAACTTTGTCATGGCCGGTGATTTCGCCTCCCAAAAATTCCTTGGGAGTATGGAGGGCGCCGTGTTGAGTGGAAAGTTGGCAGCTGAGGTGGTTTGCGATCGAGCAGCCAGCCGTCCAACCAAGGGAATTCAATCTGTTCACGAAAGTATTACGTCACAACAATTGGAAGAAAAGGATCCTGTGGGGGTACGGGGAGACTTTCCCATTGCTTTCGGTGGTGGTCAACAAGGGTCTGGACAAACTGTTGATCACCCCTAATAGACTATCTCGTCCTTGTCATGGATTTTTTTGCTAGATCTGATCACGAGTATAACGTGAAGGAAGATGCTCCAATAAAACTTGACCATTTATATAAAAGATAGACGATATGTAGTAATGACATAGCCTTTTCTACTTTTGTTGGCTGTCTATATTTACTGTTTGCTATTTACTCAAAAATTGTTTTTTCGTTGCGTGGTCAATCGAAGTCATACCAGATAAGATGGCCGCCCAATATTATATGTTCGACAAAAGACGTCGCTATTATATATACCGCCCAATTGTTTGTGATTGAACAGCCATTTCATTCACTGAGATTTTCTCTTCTCATGCTGCTCGACATGCCCGAGATACGTGTCGTTGTTGCGTCTCATTTCTGACGTTTGCCACAAGTCGGACACCAGCAGCAGCTTCCCACAAGAGCTCTTGCTCCCGTTTCTTGGACACTCCAGTCTTCCATCTCTTAAATCGCCGTTTGCAGGTCTCCTTTAATAGGAACCAAGCTTCCAAGTCTTGTGATTCGTATGATTCTTGTCGTTCTTGTTGACTTTTCCTGACTTCCTCTACCACGGCTTTCATTTCCTCCTCTGTGGTACCACTTTCAATCAACAACGCTTCCCGGACGTTCGCAGGCATGAGGAGTTGCCACCTCTGTTGCTGCATGTGGGACGCTTTAATTCGACGAGTTTCAAATTCCTCAAGGTCAAAGGTGCCCACCTCTTGATACTTCCAGTCAATCCCGATTGGCGGTCCCTTCATGGTGCCAGGATGTCTGTGGTGGTGGATATAGTAGTAGGAAGTGATCATGAAAGGGAAATGGATGAGATGTGCATGGCATGGGACGACCGAGATGTAATTCTCATCCATAATAGAATCTTGAAACAACAATAATATAACTTACACTTGCAAGCACCTGGAATATTCTCGGATATCAATGGAATGAAAGGAAACTCGTTTCTGCTGCTTGCGATGAGGATGGTGAGGATGAGGACGTTCATTATTTCTTTGATTATCGTCGTCGTCTTCATCGATCGACAAACTGGCGCTGTCTCGGCTTCGAAGAGAGCCAGAAGGAATGATCCCTCCGGTCATGTTCACACGAGACGACCGTCCTCCAGCTTCGGATGAAGAAGAGGAGGACGACGAGGAGTTGCTGTTCAGGGACGATTGTGAGGAGTAATACTCCTCTTTCTGTTCTTCTTGTGATATTGTCATGTTCAGGACCTGTTCCTGCTGTTGCTCCATTGAATAAAGCATATCTTTGGTGCTGATATGATTCTTCATCATGGAAATGTTTGTTGTTTTGTTTTTTATGGGTCGTGTGTTTTTTCTATTTTGTGATGTGCAATCGCTCGTTTGGTACCTCTTGGGCTTGATCAGAAATATCAATTAGAAGAAAATGAGTACCGGGAGTTTTTATATTTTTGGTGTAAATAAGGGAAAAGCGCTTTCTACTTATGATTGCGAAAGCTGGCTTATCGTGGTTTTGAAAAAAGACCAGAAAGCGTCTACCCAACAGATAACATTGTTTAAGAGGTTGGTTGTAACAAATACGTCGAAAAAGACGACGTTGGTCGTAGGTGATTTCGCAATGGGACGTTTCACGATCTCAGATCACTCAAGATATCGAACACGGACACATCAAATCGAACATACCAACACGGACTCTGAAGTCGGACAAAATGGCTGACGGGGATGACGTGTGTTCTTTTTGTGTTCTGGGAATAAATGGCCGACCGAACACCGACATCAAAGAAACAATTCTGAAGATTTCGAAAGATTTTTTGGCTAGTGTAATTCTTGGTAGCGGCTATGCGAGCTTGTACTGGAACGGTGACGTTTGTGTCACACCCCTGCAAAATCTGCACGGCACAAATACTTCAAACGATTTTGTATAAAAGCAGTCGTTTCCTTACATGAGCCATTATAATATTTACTGCATCAGTATAGGACGCAATAGATCATCATCATCATCATCGACAGAATCAACAACAAGAGAAACATCAGCCAACGAAAACAAGGCTCTAGTGACGACAGAATAAATCACTTTTTCGACAATTCTTAAAGTTTATCAAAAATATGGGAAACGGAGCATCTTACATCACCCTTGCAGAAGCTGCTCCTCACTTCGGTGAAGAAGTCGTCCAGTTGATTGGGAAACAGCAAAATTCCGCCATCAGCAGTGACGCATTACAGTCGGCTGTGTTTGCTGGAACCACGGCAGCTGCTTTGCTCATTCAAAAACGACATGAAGTATATCACAAACTGTTTTCAGACCTTCCATTGTACATCTTGACCGAACATCGATCATCAGTGGTAACTGTTTTCGGTCTTCCAGCATCCCTCTTATGGAATAGCTTGATGAATGCCCGATCGCGATACATTCACACCTTTTACTCGGCCCCTCATTTGCATGACCAACGTGTGGCCGCCATTCAAGAACAAGTCAAGAATCGACCGGATCCATACGCCCCTATCTGTACATCAAGACCAGGCTGGCAGTCAATCTCTCCTTCTTACCGAACCTACAAAAAGAAGTGGAATGCCATTGACATGCCGTTGCATGACATCCTCAGCATGGATACTTCAGACGAAGGCATGATTGTTCATGTCGAACCATTTGTCAGTATTGGTCAATTGACACATGCCTTAAATCCCAAAGGATTCACTCTGCCAGTCGTACCGGAAATGGACGATCTGACTGTTGGTGGTTTGATCATGGGGACCGGTATCGAGTCTTCCTCGCACAAGTATGGATTGTTTCATGAAATTATTGTCGAATTGGAGTTGCTCCTTGGCGACGGAACCGTCGTCGTCGCAACAGCCGACAATGAATATTCAGATCTCTTTCGTGCCGTGCCTTGGTCCTATGGAACCTTGGGGCTCTTGTTGTCAGCTAAGTTGAAAATTATTCCCTGCAAGAACTATGTCAAGCTGACGTATACTCCTCACCATTCTAAGGATGGATACGTGGAACATATGCGTCAACTCTCGGGAGAATATGACACCAAGAAAATTACCAATGGTAACATTAACACTAATGGTCATCACTCCAAGAATGGCCATGACTCGAAGTCAACACCCATGTTTGTCGAAGCACTGGCCTATTCTCTCGAGACGGGCGTCGTCATGTCCGGAGAATTCGTCGACGCCAAAGATGTTCCTTTTGGCAAGGCCAATCGAATTGGATTTTGGCACAAACCGTGGTTCTACAAACATGTCGAACAAATGCTATGGAAGAAAACGGGATCTATCTGGAGTCGACTATTTGGTCTAAATGGCAAGGCAAACGAGAAGGAACCAAGCTATGAACCCGTCGTCGAATACATCCCACTTCGTGACTACTACCATCGTCATACACAATCGCTCTTTTGGGAAATGGAAATGTTGATCCCGATTGGTAATCATTTCCTATTCCGATGGCTCTTTGGCTGGCTCATGCCACCCAAAGTGTCCTTCATCAAGTTGTTTCAAACTGAAATGCTTCGCGATCTCATGGAAAGGACCCACATGGCTCAAGACTTTTTGGTGCCCACACGACAATGGTCTTCCTTCATGGAAGTCTGTGACAAGGAATTTGACAAGATTTATCCAGTTTGGTTGTGCCTTCATGATCATGCTCCGATGCCTGGATCTCTGTTGAAAGATCCTGCCCAGCCGGACCCAAATCGTTCCAACCATGAAATGTACGTTGATGTCGGAATCTATGGTCTTCCCCGCTGTGTCCATGAAAAGCGAGAAGACGAATTCGATATGAAAAAAGCCATGCGGAATGTACTACAGGCTTGCGTCGACATGGATGGCTTTCAAATGTTGTATGCCGATGTCTTTTCCACACGGACCGAATTTGAACAAATGTTTGATCACAAGAAATATCGAAAGTTGAGAAGCAAGTATAATGCTGACACAGGTGCTTTCAAGGAAGTCTATGACAAAATGAGTGTAGTGGTGTAAATACGAGTACAAATGCTTCTGTTGTGTCGCAAGAAGCTGCGTATGGATGTCGGCGTAGGAAAAAAAGAGCTAGGTGGATTGTTGAGCTAGTGAACAAAATAGCGTCAGACGAACGAGGTGGATCACCCAGTGCCACAGTCGAATGACAATGGTGTAAATGTCGAGTGGAAATATAAAGTAAAAGTGTCACAAACCTAGCAATCGACAGACTGTTTAGACTTGTCTAGTCATGTTTGCCAAAGCAAAGACTTGTGGATGAAGGGAGAGAAAAAAAAGTGTGGAGTTCATGTACTTTTTTCTGTCGAAAACCAAAGTTCCATTTCCACAACCAAGACATACACTGATCAATCCTCAATAGTAATCGAATATGTTACGTCGCTTCTGGGAGTCTGAAGACCAGAGTAGCAAGCACACGGAGGTACACCATCACAACCTTGGGAAACGGAATCTTAATTTCCGGTTTTGTTCGGATGGATCAACAAAGCCGAGATATGATGATGGAATTGTGAGCATTCTCGATTCCTAATGCCGTATCCCTTAGCAGGGTAAAGCTTTTTGTAACAAAATTAGCTCCGATCGGTGCAGAGCATCAGAAGTTAGAAGAAATTCTGTAACGCGTTGATGAATCCGTTTATCGAGTGTTCTTTTCAGTGACGACGGATCCGAAATCGCGTTCTGGACGTCAGAGGCCATCATTGGCTGGATCAGTACCAGGTATTACGTGCGTAATTATCCTTTTAACGCCCGTTTGACCCATCGCATTTCACAGTGAGGTTCTCAATTGTCGACGAAGAGTTCAAGCGCGGTATTACCTTCTCCCAGAGTCCTTACCATTCGGACTGCGATGTGGATTTGAGACGCTCGAAATCTCACCCTCCCAACCACCGAGGTTTTCATACTGGAAGATTACAGTGTATGGCAGTGTACCGCATCGTCTCCTACAGTACAGTACCGGCTCATACACTACTCCATCCCGACATGGGTAACCATTGGCCTTGTGAAAATGATGAGGAATCTGTTTCTTCAGTGGATTTGATGTAGCTAGGCAATGGGGCCACGGGCCACTTCACTAACAACGTTCGACTAGCTCGTTGATTGACAACATAAAATAAAGAATTACATTCCCAATATCTACTACTACTTTTGCTATACGCAACCCACAAATTACCACATGTCATTGACCACAAGTGCCCCCACAGACAAAAGAAGACAAACCAACATGGACCTCGTGTCAGGCGCCGGAGAAGAAGTAATGGGTACATTTGTTGGAAGTGGAAGAATCGTTGGGGTAGTAGGTTGTGGAACGGCAGTGGGTTCCCTAGTTGGAAATGCCGTAACTCCGATGGGTGATGGTCGGCCGGATGGTGCCAAACTAGGAGCTCTGGTTGGGACTTCCACAGGTGGAAAGGTAGGCGGATCGTCAAGCGACTTGACAAACAATCGAAAGTCACCCGTCAACGTCGATCCACCTGAGGAAGGATCATGGGCAATATACAAAAAGTATCGTTGTTCAAATGTGGAAGTAAAGCTGATTTGGTGCAGTTCGCGTAGGGCGAGAGATCCGTCTGAATTCCGATAAAGACACTTGCTCTGATCGCCACTGATATTTGTAACACTGTAGGTCCCATCATTCAATTCACACTCTAGGTTGTCACAATTGGGTCCTTTGTACAAGGAAAAAGCATATTGCGCATCAGAATTTCCACAGGCCCCGATGGTCATGTCCGAACCAGTTCCGAAAAAAGAGTACCAGACTCCAGGATACAATTGGTTGACTCCACAGTAGTCTGGCATCTGAGACAAGTTGGCATCCAAAGTGGTACCATCAACTTGCAAATCGACTGGCGGAATGGCACCAATGGCCCTCTTACAGTCATCATTTACCGGCTGAAGGGAAGAAAGATGAGGAAAGGCAATAATAAGGTTTATAATCTGACATAAAGGCCATGTGCAAACGATATTTTCACAAACAAAACAAACTTACTGGAGATATACTGCGGAAATTCATCCATATAGTCCCTTGATCCCCGGGAATTTGTGCTTGAACCAAGACGTAATAGGTCACTCCATTAAGTGATTGCCACTCTACTGCGGTAGATTTGGCGGTATTCGAAGTGCATTCGAAATCTGTGCTATCGGATGCCGTAACACAAGTCAATTGATTGGCGGTACAATCAAAGGTAGTACCACTGTAGACCAGAAGAGTGGCCTTGAATTCTGTGTTCTCATTACAAGTGGATGCCTTTATGGCATTTCCGGTTCCCGCTACGGAATACCAAACTCCAGGACCAACTTCAGAGGATAGGCCATTACAAGTTCCAAGTCCTGTAGATTGCGTCTTTCCAAACGTTGATTCGGCATTGAATTGGCCATTGGCACTTCGAAGAACGGTGTCTTCGCTGATATATTTTACATGTTGAAGTGGATAGGATGTGATGAATAATGCCATGGAATGAAATGCAACGATCAGATGAGATTGCGCGCATCATTTGAAAATGAATGAAGCGAAGAGAATCAATGACATCGTTAGATTCCAATACACAGAAACTGATGAAGAAAATTCATAGTAGTCGCTTAACACCGTCCTACCACCACCGCCGCCGCAAGCATCGTCATCCTCATCGAGCATCGTCATCCTCATCGAGCATCATTAATAGAATCCACAAAGTTGAACTTACCAGGAATCTTGCAAATTTCGGCTTCCGTGTTCAATATTAAGACTTATAGAATTGTCACCTTGCACATCTGCTGCTAGCCCCAGAAAGCTTATAGCTAGCAGAATAAAATGACGCCTTGGAAACATCGTGTCGATATTATAGCTGCTATGACAATAAGTCAATTCTCAACACCCAAAACACCAATCCTGTTTATACTTTTTTTAGGTCATCTTTATTTTGCGGTTGAGGAATAACGCACTAACTCAGTCCTTATGACTGTCGACTCACTCGCCATATAGACTGCTCAACGAAAAAAGTTTGGGATTTGCACTTTGCATACATAAACCTCGGATCCAATCCAATGTAAAGCTACAGTATGTTCCTTTTAATCTACTCTGGCGGAAACGGCGTAATGATTGGAACAGTAGATTGTAGGATCTGTACGGTCTAGACTCGCATTCAATCCAATGTAAAGCTAGTTTTTTTTAAAAATATAACTTTTTTAAACATCCCATTATCAATCACAAAAAATTGGCATCTTCCTTCTAGTCTACTCTGGCCGATACTGCACAGTAAAGAGGGAATTCCATTGGCCCTATGTTTCTTATAGCAATCGTACATTGAGATCCAGGAGTCTCTACCATGAGCTGGAATGGTACTCCTTGTTCGTTGTAAACTTTGACTTTCTGAGGAGTGTTATCAGGTCCCTGCCACAATTCCACAAGCACCATTAGAGGCATACCGTCCGTTTCCAGCGTAACGAGTGCGCTTGTTGCATAATCGCTCAGGGATACAGTGTATAAGGAATTCGCTCCCTGTACCTGCTTGAATCTCTCTGGCTCGTATCGAAAGGGCATCGGTCGCACATTGGCTTGAATTGGAAACGCTGTTGGACCCGAGTTCTTGATATCGATGGATGATCCATACCCAGGGGTTTCAACAACTGCTTTGAATGGACGAATACCGCCGTCTTCACTATACATCTTGATCTTGTGTGGCTGCGAAATAGAGCGACAGGTGTTGGTTTAGATATCGTGGAGATAATAGCATATGTGAATTGATGATCGGTGATGAAACGTACTGTGTTGGATGGTCCTTGCCATAGTTCAATCTCCGAATCAATCGGTCTCCCTTCGCTAAACAAGTCCACCATTACTCGAGGAACTCCCAAATGATTTTGCCAAGTATTCCGCGATTCACCTTGAATTTCGGAAGACAAAGGCCTGGTCCAATCTGGATTATGTGGGTCGAACGGCTGTCTCGTGTTCTGTTTCATGGGTTGTAATGGAGGCGGTGCTACTGTTGCCATTGGCATGCCAGCTGCTAGTGGGTTCATAGGATGGTCGTGATAAGGAAGACCTTGCGATCCTTGCCAGCTGTTTGGGTCATTGTGCCATGATGTTCCTTGTAGATTGGTGGTGGTGCCAGCACCGCCTGGCATTCCTGGACGGTCCCAGCTTGGGGAATGCGGATCAAAGGGTGGGGGACGTGGTGGCACCGGGTTCTGCTGCTGAAGTTGATTGAGAGGAGGGAGGATCGTTGGGTTGTTATCACGCTCCCACGGATTGACATTGTCAAATATGCGGTTTCGTCTTCCCGTTTTGACATCGTACCAATTGTCTCCGCCAGCATTTCGGTTTTGCTGGCTCATTAGCTCATGCGGGTCGAATTGTGGCGGCGGCTGGGCATTTTGTTGCGCCTGTTGTCCCATTGGTGTGTCCCAAGTTCCTGTCGGTGGTTGTGGTGGTGGCATCGCTACACTTGGACTCTGTTGCTCTTGTTCTTGTTGTGGCTTTTGCACAGGCTGACCATACAGCGGCACGTTCGGAGGTGGAGGCCCCTGAAGCGGCAGGTCTTGTTGGGGAAAGGATCCCATGGATGGATTGTACGTCTGGGTCTGTTGCTGCTGCTGCTGCTGCTGCTGTTGTTGTTGTTGTTGTTGTTCGGTAGTACCATTTGGGTAGATTGCTGTTGGCGGTGTTTGTTGCGTCTGATACGTTGGGGTTTCAAGAGGAGGAGGTTGCTGCTGCATTGATTGTTGTGGCGGAGGATTTTCTGGAAACGGTGAATATGAAGATGCTCCTGGTGCATACTGCATTGGAGGCTGTTGCGTTTGCGTTTGCGTTTGCTGCTGTTCCGCATTACCGTTTGGGTAGGTTGCCGTTGGTGGTGGCTGTGACTGTGGCATCTGATAAGCTTGATATTTAGGCGAATACGAAGTTGCTCCTTGTGGATACTGAATTGGAGGTTGTTGCATCATTGGAGGCTGTTGTGGGTAGACTTGTGTCGTCCCTGTTCCGAAATTCGTCGCGTGAGGATCATAGTTCTCTGAAGAAGGAGGAGGCTGCAGCTCGGGAGGCTGTGGGATAGGAACATTTGGAGGAATAGGAGGCAACTGTGACCTTGTTATCGATTCATTCGACTGTGGCTGTGGCTGGTTTAAGTAGCCCATTTCGTGATTTGCCGGAATCGTTTGTTGGACATCTAATTGTGATTGTGGTGGCGGAGATACTCCAGTATTTGGATGATTTGATTGCGTTTGCTGCTGTGGCTGTTGCAGCATCGGTTCTTGTGGGGGTGGAAAGTATTGGTTTTGTGCAATTCCGTTTGGAACAGAAGCTGTTGCTGGAATATCTGTCGTCGTGACCACTTCTGCTGTCGTTTCAATAACATTATTCTCTTGCACAGGAATGGGTTTTGGTGGAGGCTGCTGTTTTCGTTGTGGATGGAAACTTTTCATTCCTTGTGTAGCCGCTGGTGGCCTTTTTCCAGCAGTCGATGGTGCAAGTGAATCCAAATATGAATTCATCAATCGAACTGTATCCTGGTGACGATTTCTCGTCGGATGAAACTCATCATGCCCTCGTCGCTCTTGATTGTTCCAGACATTATGGTGCTCTCGAGCCCCGTTTTTCCAGGACGAGGAAGGTAAAAATGCCACACTCGAGCCTGTCAATAATGAACCAATTGTCACCAAAGCCACGATTCGTCTTTCATATTTCATTTCCAAGAATTCCTCTGAATTCAAATAACTAATTCTTGCAACGTGGCAATAAACTTTTTGATTATATTGTGAGGACGATAACTTTTCGAGAGAGATTGTGCGTGGTGATGGGCCAAAGAAGCAAGCAATAGGATCAACAAGTGCAATGGATGAATACAAAGATTCGATGGCAACACAACTTGCGATGTTGAAATATACTATTCGAGATTATTGTTTTGATGTGCGATGATGGTGATAATGCTTTTAGACGTCATGGTTCCATCGTCCAAGCCAATCAAAACGTCACATGTTTATGACTACTTCGACTAAGCTCGCGCATGAGTACAGTACGCGAATCGCCGTTGCTCGCCGATCAAAACTCAATGTCGTGCTTCGTGTCTGCGTTCACTTTTTCCGAAAAATTTCGAAGAATGAATCAACCGAAATTGTTGGTGTTCTGGAACACCCGGCAAATGACGAAAATCCGTACCGCGCGGGGTCGACTGTGGGAATTCTGATGTCTTTCGATGGGCGATCGCTGCCTTAAATATATTTCAGTTTTTAAACAATATCATTTTCACAGA